AGAGACCTCCCTTGGCAGAGACATCTCATGCAATGCCCGAGGAACCCGCGACTTTTGCAGTCTTCATAAAGTATGCGGGTATTGCCGCGGTCAAGCTATTGCATTTTTTATCAACTTATGCAATTATAATTATTTATTTATTTTTATTTATGCAGTATTTTTTTCTTTGATATTAATTCAATTTACCACTATACCAGACTCAGACTAACACGCCTATATAGTCTGTCTCTAACCTAACCTAACGCGTACCGGCGTCACCGATATCGTCAGAGAGATGTGAATACGCAGTATGCGTTCTGTCCCGCTCTAACGCGTATTGCCCGCACCTATATTACGTCATCGTGTGTTAGGTTTTTATTTTTGTTACGGAATTTCTTGATTTGGTCGTCGCGCTCAAAGCCCGCGTAAAATCTATGCAATAGCTTAACAAAATTTTGGTTTGAAGAATATGTTTTAAATTACGATGCTTGTATTGAATTTTTACAAATACATACAGTATTAAAAACCTACATTAATATTGGAATGTTCGTTTGTTCGTTTCCGGAAACCTCTGAACCAATTTCTTAATTCTACGCTATCCTAGTCACGGATCTATCAGCTAAGTTGATAAGACATTCGAACATTAACTAGGGTTAATTTATATAAAAACAGGGATTAAATCTATGTTACAATAATTGGCATACAATTACATCTTTTCTGTCTTGCTCTATATGTGTCAATTTGAGCAAGACAACTTACAAACAGTGTGTATAATAAATTTTAAGTCAGTATTTACATATACACTCTGCACTTGTTTGGTAGTGTCACGCTATCTCACTCATCTGTAAGGATTAAAAGTGCTAGAGTAAGATGAATATAGAAGAATTCATTATACTTCATATATCCAAAAAGCCGTACGTTTTCTTTAACACATTTCTTTGTTTTTTTCTATATAACAAGTAATTTAAAATGTCAATTTCCTAAAAACCGTCTTTTATGTCCACTTCGACCGTCCACAGAATATTATCCGTCGCGCACAATTTTTTTATTAAAATTAATTCATTTATTTTACGACATATCAATATTATAAAATAATGTTTACTTACCTTTGCACTTATAAATAATTATTTTATTATTGATTGCCTAATGTGTTAAAAGATAAGACAAAGGTCCAAAACTGTCCATTTTATCTCGAAAATTATCCGGAGCTTAGCACGTATCAAAATCCAAATAAAACAGTATGTGTATCATTAAGTACTTTGTTTAAAACATATTTACACCGTTTTAACTAAAGCTCTACTCTCACATATTATATATATTATATACGTATAATATATGATTTTAATAGCGGAAAATTTCTGCGATGTTTTGTGTGCCATTCTCTTAAAATACTCTAAGAATATTACTTCAAGTTCACTTGATAGTACGTCAATCTTTTAATAAAGGAATCCCAAAAAGCTAGTTACGTTCATCATTACTTGCTCTAAAATAATTTTTCATTATATAGTAATACCGTATTTTACACAATATGTCTACAGGTAATAAACATCGGTGACTATCTCTTTGTCAAGATATCCACTGATAGTTCTCACTTATGCTACTTATTTTAAGAAAAACTTACGCAGAGATAAATGAGTAATTTAGTTAATATGGTGTAATAATAACTTACTTTCTATTAAGACGGTTAAGCATTAAAATTAAGTGTGTACACGTTTGTTGCTAGTTTTGTTAAAACGCACCATGTTGTTGTTATTATTTGTGGTACTAATACATTGTTTTTATTTATTGTTAATTAAATAACTAAAATCTAGCTTTTCGGTCGTCCAAGTTACAATGGTTTGAAGGTTCAATTTAGGTTAGAATTTAGAATGTATAACAGATAGGTGTCCGTAGTAGTTCCTTACATTAATAATGCTCGTAGCATTGTAGCTGTCTCTACGAGCGTAGCGAAGCGCGTAGCTTTAAGCTACAACTTAGCATTCAGCACTTTGTATTCGTTAAATAGGGTTTATAGTAGGTTAAGTGTAGTGTAGAGCCACATCGCCTGTGATAATAGGTTGAGAATTGGAAAGTTTATAAAAACATTACTGATGGCTTTGAACCATTTTTAGGAGCTACATATGATATACCCTGATCAATTACAAAGTTACCGTATTTTGGAAGGCTTTATGGTTTGCAGAAATTAAATTTAATATTTCAAAATATTAGCCGTTTGAAGTGAAGATTGTGAATGCCATGGAAAGCTTAAAAGTTGGTGATTATATTAAGATAAATTTTAAGGTAATTGAACGAAGAGTTATTAAATTGACTATTGCCACGTTTATAACGTAGAATAGACAAATAGCAGTGAAGGTTGAAAGTTTAAACGTTTTCGAAAATGCCTAAAAAAATTGCAATTATTAGATATTTAAAACCAGATTCCACTAGTAGTAATGATACTAATAGAAGTAATACTGAAATATGTTATTATATGAATACATAAAATGGAAATCGCTGTACTAATTAGTAAAATAAGTTCTATATGTAGATACATTATGACACTAAATAGTAATATGTTAAAGGGTAAAGCCTGCTTTACTGTTAGCTCACTGTATGCAAAAGCCCAAAAGTAAGTATTGTTCTTTTTTGCAAAGTTTTTTAATTTACTTTTACTAATTAATCGGCGTTACCCACGAATTTAAATAAAATATTACTCACTTTCTGAGAAAATGCTTGAACACGATTCTCAAATAGTGTACCCCTGCGTCGCGTCGGGTCAAATCGGTCGGTTTAACGGGTGTTGGCTAACATTTAGCGACAACCATTCAAGTTTTTGATAATCACAAGTAATGCTAATAACCAAATCTTTAATGTCTAGTTTATACTCTTATAATGTCTAGTTTTAACGAGTGCCCAGTTGTGTTTCGGTTCTATAATTGACCAGCAAAACGTATATTAAAATAACTATTTAAATTATTTTTTACTTCATTTGAATCCAGGGAATCCGTTTTGTATTGTGCATGTAAGACTGAAACCTTAAAAATGTGTGCACTGTAAAATATAAACACAAAGTTTTGAAGACCTTATTACAATGGTTACCCTGGTATGTAAATTGTCAAGAATTAAATGTCATGCAACGCCTTTACTTGTTAGTAATTCATAAATCACTCGAAACAACCCTAACTAACTTTGATGAATAATATATTTGAGAGGTGTGAGTATTTTTAACAAAATCACTTGGCACAAAATACCAATAGGTTTAACTGTGATGCGTGTAATGCGTATCTTTTGTATATGTTATTTGTAGGCAGAATATAAAATTCCACCCACATCATCTCGACGTACGTCGTTTCATAACAGCGTTTATTAAGGCAGCTTTTGCCGCGCACCACCACTTTGTTTAACCAGCCACCCACTGAAGTATTTCCGAACCAATGTGAAAGCATCAGATGAGCATTATATAAAAAAACGTAGGGTTCGTTTTAAGAAACACGATAATCAAGATTTAAATTAACCAACCAACCATAAAGCATTTGCAACATATTATTAAACTTAACAGCAGTTTGTTTGTAAAATATAGTTTAGTTTGATTGTAAGTGTTATCTCCTGCGAGATTGAACATTGAATAAAGGGTTTCTTGATTAAATGTTGTTTTCTTATCAAATAACAATGTCTTCCAGGTCGATTGGAAAACGGTTCCCTTAAAACTTGTCATGTAGGTTGAAGATATACAGCGTTTTATGTTTTATGACTACGATAGGACGGATATCCAATTACTGTAATACATGCAGGTGCAAGGACACATTTGCGTATTCATCTAAGGTGTTACCGCCAACATTCCGACTTAGGGCTCCCACACAAAACTTCAGTTCAGTACGGCTGGCTTCGAAGGAATGGTCGCCCTACCAAACGGTTTGACGCACTAAATCGTATCGCAGAAATTCGCATCGCATCGCAGTTTTGTGTGGGAGTCCTTAGTGCGGCTAACCATTTGGTAGGGTGACCATTCCTTCGTAGTCAGCCGTACTGGACGTGTTTTTAGGAAGCGTAAGATGGATCACAAAAAGATTATTGCACTGCTGTTATTGTTAAATAGATATAAAAGAAAAAGAAGATTCTGGGTTCATCCATTTATTACGATTATGAACTCTGATGCAAACTTTCACAGTCGTTCTTCCACGCATCTTGCTTAATAATTTTATTTTTATAATGTTTATCACTTGTGTCCCAAAGGACGGGACGCTCCTCAATTAAAAATATTAAAAAATCCATATCATATTCCGCAATTTTTTATAAACAAAGAAGGCGGCGGAGGCACCGCGCGTCTTTCTCTAAAGCTGTCTCAGAGCGGACTAAAATGGCGTCACCAAGGATGACGTAATATCGCAAGAATGTGCGATGCGAAGCAGATCGGAAATTCTTGCGGTGCGTTCGTGCGAATTCGCAGATATTTGCGATGCGATGCGAATTCGCAGTTTTGTGTGGGAGCCCTTAGGGCTACTCAATATTATATATGTCGGAACAATGTCATTACTGTCAGCTGTCAGTGTCAAAATCCGTCACAGAGCTTATGAGCTCTGTTAACAACGTCAAATATTAATGCTTGCAGTTTATACGATTTGCCAACATTAATAGATCTACAGAAGAACGACAACTGATAGTCAGAGAAAAATAAAATACAATATTTAACGTGACTTATAGGCAATCATATCATTACACGAAGAAATTGAACCAAAATATTAAATTATAAAAACTGAAAGTAAATTGTTTTTAAAGAGGTTTTTATGGATTTTCTATCAGAAGGCTTAATCTGAATATCGGTAAGTTTTGGCCAAAACGCGTTCTTCTGAAAGGAGCACGAAATTTAAATTTAGTTAAAAGATTGGGGCAATCTATCTGACTGCTAAATATCTCAAACATAACACAGTCTTTTGCATGTTCGTTATACTAAACCTAGGGTTATACCAGAAAACTATTTTAAAAAACCATTAAAACACATTTATATTAACAGAAATATATTCAAAATGTCAAAACATTATTTATTACACTGTATCTTCCTCTTTCGCACAATTTGTGTCCATGGCCTGTGGTTCAGGGACAGCCTCGGGTACGTCGGATGCTTTCTTGAATTTGTTTACATCTGAAAAAATGAGTTATACTGTAGGCCTTCATGCAGTTGCCATGGTTACCGTTTTGTAACTAAATATGTTCGCACCTACATTTTTACTTTTTCTATAAAAAAAATCCCACATCTCTTAGATTTGGGGCTCGGATTTTTTTATAATTGAAATGTCTACAGTCACCGAAATTTTGATGAGTTTTCGTTGAACTAGTGTTTAATGGGAGTTTTTTAGTAAAAGCTTTTCATTCCAATTATTAGAGGTGGTATTAACTGTTTTCTGATCATTTATTTTTCTTCATATTCAAGTAAGAGGGTGACTAGCCTTCTGTGCCTGACACACAGCTTATAAATGCGTACATAGAAATAATAAAAGGTCACAGTCTTATTCGTCGAATTGGTCGAATCGCACGCTCAACTAATATTTACTAAAAAGCCATCATTCAGTCACGATTATAAAAAAAAAACTAGTGGCACTACAACCTCTTTAGGTCTGGGCCTCAGGTTTCTCTATCTGTTTCATTGACATTTGTCAATCTCATAGGCAAGTAGGTGACCATCTCCTTTGCCTGACTCACGTCGACTTTTCGGGTCTAAGGCAAGCCGGTATCCTCGCGATGTTTTCCTTCACCATTCGAGCGAATGTTAAATGCGCACATAGAAACTCCATTGGCGCACCGCCGGGGATCGAACCTACGACCTCAGGGATGAGAGTCGCACGCTGAAGCCACTAGGCCAACACTGCTTGCATTTTTAAGTTGTTAAGGTTAATTTAGTTTAAATAATTCTCACCATATTTGCTGTAATCGGCCCCCAATAATCTCAAATAGTGCACCGTATCGGGGGTGGCCGTGTAGGCTCTAAGCGAATGAACGCCACGCCATCCAACTAGTGTTAGATCCAGCTCATCATCTTTGTATTCCAGAATACAGCTGCCGGTAGCTACAAATGCACAGAAAAATCTTTATCTTCTCTTGAGAAGCTTTATTTTGTTTTAATAATACTCAAAGAGTGACAATACAATTATGGGGTCAATAGGATCTTGTTTAAATTAAATAAACTTTGATAGAATTTTTAGTAAATTGATATTTTTATTTTAAACCCCTTATAAAGTACTCATCTGTCTCTCTTCATCACAGCGTAAACACAATTTGACAGAAAGAGACAAAAGAGCACTTTTGATGAAACCGTGCTATCTTTAGGTGGTATTTTGTATTCTGTCTCAACGTTCCTTGTTGAAATGAAATCGATCTAATTGCTTTTTCATAAAAAGTGCTCTTTCGTCTCTTTCTGACAAATTGTGTTAACGCTGTGATGAAAAGAGACCGTCCGTCGTTCCACTGAGCGTTATTTAAGCCAGTTTTTGGAACCACCTATCCATTGAGTTATTTGCGAACCTGGGTTTCTCCAATAAAAGCGTACCAATTCTAAAAAAGGCCGGCAACGCTCTTGCGAGCCTTCTACCAATGTGAGTGTTCATGGGCACTTTCACTTAACATAAGGTGAGCCTCCTGCTCGTTTGCTCTCTGTTATATATAAAAATATAATAAATAGTTACCAAAATCCTTGACCAATGCCTTCGTATGATCCGAGAATTGTTTGATTTCGGGTGGATTACTGGGATCATCATTCTGCAGAACTAATATTAGATCCTCTTTAAGTATGCGCACGCGCCGCTTAGGGCCTATGCAGTGGGATATACTTTGTAGGCCTTCTTGAGATAACCTGGAAAGATTTAATTTTATTTAAAAAATATCGGATTTAAATTATTATTTATCATCTGCTCAGAATGTCATCACAAAAATCTGACAACTAAAATTAAAAAAAAAGGCTTCTGCAAGCTCAATCAGTATAAATTAATTAATCTAATTTTTTAATAACACAAAACATAGATTTTTATATCGGAGAAATAAATTTTAAAAAAAATTTACATTTTGTAGTAATTTTCGACACTTAATATTTTAAAGACAATTAAATACATTAAATTCCTAACAAGGTTCGCAAGTAGGTTGCCGGCCTTTTAAGAATTGGTACGCTCATTGATGTAATAGTGCACTAGCCAGGATTCCCTGTGTGGGCAGCTGGTCTCTTCCATTTGACATATTAATAATTTTAATAAATTCTACATAACATTGTGTGAAAAATAACTTTAAAGGAACTCACCTAAACGGACACGTCATGTTCTTGTTGTCACAACGTACGAACGTTTTGACACCCGTATTGATGATTTTAATACTTTTGTCATTCCTCTGGACCACATCTTTCACTGTTGGCGTGACCAAGTATATGTTCTTCTTCTTTCCTAAGTGACATCTGAAAATAATTAAATGTTAGAATTAAATAAGACTGGATTTGTTAACTAGTGGGGAAAGTATTCGAAATCACAGACATAATTTAAATTTCTTCTGTGGAAATTAAATTGATAGCAGTGGCCTAGTGGCTTGAGCGTGCGACTCTCTTCCCTGAGGGCGTAAGTTCGATGCCCGGCTGTCCACCAATTTCTATGGGCGCATTTAACATTCGCTCGAACTGTGAAGGCACAGGAGGCGTTCACCTTTGGTTGAAAAAATATCATAAAACAGGTACAGACATCTGAGGCCCAGAACTCAAAGGTTGTAGCGCCATTGGTTTGATAAAACCAACCAACCAGAAAAACTAATTTTTTTGGAAATTAAATTTTACTTTATAATGACAGAAAAAAAGGTTAAAAAATCATAATTATTTTTTGATATCTATATTGATTTTCTTTGATTATTGTTATTGTGTGTGTATGTTAGTAATAAATGTTATGTGTATGTCTATGATAACTTATCACCGTATCAAATTTCTTGTCTAAAAGCTGTAGTTTTTTAAAAAATGGGTCATAAGTTTGAATCTTATGATAAACATTTCTATAAATTTGTTATAAAGTTTAGAAAAAATTAACACCTGGTAAGCAGACAAGTTGGATCAAAATCTTCTTTTAAGTCATAAAACTCTTTTATACACGGAAAGACATCTTCTTGATCTCCTGAAAAGAAGACAAAGGGATCTTCTCTGTAACCCCCCATTCTTCTCCTCTTTTTGGGCGGTTCAGGCTTTGAAATTGTCTTTTCGTTATCAGTTTGTTCTTTCTGGTCTTTTTCGTCCTTTTCCCAAGGTAGTGGGGCCACCTTTTCAACTACAGCAACGAAAAATCCACCGGTGTCTTGTTGGTGTGGGAGAATTCTAATACTAATAAATATAAAATTATGAAGAACGTATCAGGTTTTTAAGTTTATTACAAAAATTTACGTAGTTTGTAATGATTAAAAAAAATATAATTTGCCTACTGGCGCTGGGTCTACCCTCAAAGCCTCTGCTATTCAAAGGGTTAGCGAGACCCTACCCACTAAAAACCCCACAGCCCTCCCACGCGCTTAACATGGGCCTTCGGGTTTCGCTAAGGCTTTCAACCCAATAGAGCCATTACAATGCTACATTATCCCTGATTAACATAGGCAACATTTATTTCCAAAAAATCAGCTATCTTGTACAAAGTTTCTGCACAGGGCGAATTATCTTCTAAATAAGAAAAACAATTTTATTTTGTACGTAATAATTTACACTTACCATCTGTCTAAGTTAAATTTATCAGCAGATTCGGGAGACGGTGGAAACATTTGTGGTCTGACCACAGTCTGCCATTTCTCCGGTACTTCTTCATACTTCTCGTAGAAGACCATGTCTTTGGAGGCTGGTCTCCAATAGGTCATACCTGCGAGGATTATTGCAATATCTCAATTAGACACATTATTGACCCGAAATTAAAGATGAATTTAGTTATAGTTGAATGTATTAATCATTTAAAAGGTGTGTTTTGAATATTGGAATCGAGCAAAGGAAAAACTTATTTTTTTTACACTAAATACATTATTAATTTATTTGAAAAGAAAGTGGAACATTTAGGTTGATTAATTAACAGTAAATGAAAATAATTGTTCAGAAGATTGTTTGTTAATAGAAACTAATAAATAATATTTCTTCATAGGTTTGTCAGGGCTAGAGTACAACAATAGTTACAAAACTGTACAGTAAACATGTATATATTTTTAGATACGAGAAAAAAGAAATAGTATTCTATAAATATAATGGAAAGAGCAACAGAAAAGTGGAGCAAAAAAATATTAAACTGGTGTCCAAGGTACAGCCAACGAAAAAGAGAAAGACAACTTCGAAGGTGGATAGACCAAATTAAAGAAACAGCAGGTGGTACATGGCAGAGAGGAATGGCGGGATTTTGAGGAGGCCTTTGCCAAAAAAGGGCACACAGATATCTAAAAGAAGATTTATTTTTATTTTTATATTTATTAGCTTAAAGTTCAAGTGGAAAAAAAGTAGAATTGAGAAACACCGTGCATTTTTTTCGAAACAGACAGACAGTTGGATCTATTAATAGAAAAACATACACAACAAGTGTGCATAAAATTCATTTACTTTTTTTAATGGCGATAATTTAAAAACACTTGAATTACATAGAATTTTTTTCTACCTACCTGATTTTAATTTGAGTTTTATTATGAGACACCCTATATTTTATATAAAAATATAGCTTTAAATGTATTTTATATAGTGATATCGAACTTTAAAGACTATAATTTGAACAGCATAGAAACACTTACCTTTTTTATATTTCAATCCAGGCAATTCCCCAGTTACATCCACCAACTTCACCGAATCACCGGTCTCTTGCAATAACCGGTGCACCACAGCCTCATTCTCAATTGGATTGAACGAACAGGTCGAGTACACCAGGCGACCACCGATCTCAAGCAATTCACAACCACGACGCAGTACTCTATATTGAATCCTGGAAGAGGGAAAAAGAATACAGGTCCAATATTCCCCTTTGATATGACAAAATCTATGAATTATTTATTAATCAAAACGCGTATACATAACTAACATAAAGATATCTTATCTATTGTGAATACAGAACCTAAGGATCTAATCTTATTGTTATTATATTTTCATAATTTATTTGGAACTAATAAAGTTTATTTATAATAAATATGTTGAATATCTCTATTATTCATAGTTTATATCATGAATTACATTTTCTGTAATAGATGTCTCATCAGGCGAAAATAATAAATTCACCAGATAACAGCTCATCACCAATTGTGATTCAGCTGTCATGCCTGCACTTATTATCACTGATTGAAACGTAAAAATATACAGTCCAGCAATCTAAAATTTCTAACAGAAATAGTGTTCCCCCACTTCAACATGGAGTTTATGTACCACACTATTCTATGTCTATATTACGTCCTCGCCGTTATTTTTGAAAGCTATAGAAAGTTGCAGAGTACTAGCACTGTATATTTTATACAAAGATATCTTTATGTCTATGGCGAATAATAGTGGCCAAGCCATAGAGTATAGAGAGACAATTGAACAATAAATTATATAGTAAATATAAAATAATTTTAGCCCAATTCTGATTTTTTTTTATATATAATGGGGGGGCAAACGAGCTTGCAGGACGTCCAAAAAGGGCAGTCATCGCAGCCCATAGACACCCATAGTGGGTGCGTTGCCGGCCTTTGAGGGAGGAGTATACTCGTTTTTGAACATTTGGAGTTTGTATCTCTGAGGGAAGACTCCCACCGGTAGTTGATTCCACAATTCGCTAGTTCGCAAAAGAAAATGCCTTGTGAAACGGACTGTGGAAGACCTCCAGCCATCAGCCATGGTGGAATTTAGTTAAAATTTTTATCTTTATAAATAAAATTTCAAACATACCCATGTAAATTATTTCCATTGCCAGTCGACCATTTCAGCCATATATCAGGATTTTTCCTCAAAGTAGCGTCTCCAGAACAGGGCACGTCACACAATATTCTGTCATATTTCAATGGTTTTGTTGATTCAGGATTCTATAAAAACATTGTTTTTATAAAGTTACATTTCTGTTTTAAGTATATTGATAACTAAAAATTCTGGTGGATGGAAAACTTTAACCCTTCTCCCAGAAGGGGGCATCTGGCTTAATAAAATTATATATATATATTTATTTTTGTATATTATAATATGTAAATAAGGTGTGGACAAATAAAGGCTTCTTATTACTATATTATTATGTTGCGCTGTTATATTAATTGGGATAACTTTAGTAGGTATAGGGTATTAAAGTGGGGATCTCTATTCCTATTGGAAATTTTAGAGTGCTGGTAGAATGTATACTTTTACCTTTGGATCACTGATAGTAAGTGCTGGCATGACAGCAGAATCATGATTGGTGATGAGTATAGCTGGTGAATTTAGTCTCTTCGCCTGGTGCACCAACATGTAACATCTACTATTGTCCACATCATTTGCTATTACAAAACCTGTAATTCATAATATAAACTATGAATAAGAGAGATATTTGAAGCATTTAATATTATTAAACTTTATTAGTTTTAAATAAATTACGAAAATATTATAAAAATATAAAATTCTTACCAGTGGGCATTTTGTCTTCATCAGCATGAAGAAACTCAATTAATTGTGCTGTTTTTGATCCTGGGGCAGCACACATATCCAATACCTGGAAAGTAAAAGGAAGTCAAACAACATATAGTACATTTATTGTACAGATTCTTTAAATATATTATAAGCGATAAAGGCTTTTGTATTTGTAGTAGATTGGTCTCACAAGCAGATTCCATACAATCAAAATAATCAAATCCAATTCAAAATTTTTAACTTTTAGATTCATCTTTAATGCCTATACAAAAATCTCACTTATTAGAGCAAACAATCAATTTAGTTTCTAAAATCAATTGTGTGTCCAAATATTACACTAACCATTAATTAATTATTTTAGAACTTACTTTATGATGAGGTTGAACTTGTAACACAACTGGTGGTATCATTGACACTGTTTCCTGTCTTGACACGCCACCAGCAGCTGTCTCCGCGACTAAAAAATTGTGTAACTTGTATAATGCTTCACTCCTACGGATGTCAGTTCGTGATACTCTTAACTGCCATGCAAGACCTCCAGGGTACCTACAACACAATAGATAATTACAGTGTATGTGAACAACAGTATTCATTGATAAATCATACACACTGAGTTTACTAATGCAATAGTATATTGTTAAATAACCTCACACAAAATAGAATTTAAAATATGATAAAACAGTTTAGTTTGTAAAAGAATTTTTAGAACAACTATAAATAATAGTAAAGCATTTTATGCTTTGAATAGAGCTGCACACCGCAGTATTTATGTTTCTTTTTAACATTACGGTCTTGCCAAACATGACTTGACTAATATGTAATATAACCTAATTTACTAAGAAACTTCTATTTCTTTACAAAAAGAGAGTGTATTTTAATTTTAAAAAAAATATCACTCTTGCTGTGTAACTTTAGTAAATAGAAGTAGTGTTTGATATGAATAAAGTTTATTATTATTATTATGGAAATGGAATTTTTCCAGTTATGATTAAGTAATGACAATATTACTTGTCAATAATTGATCTTCTACATGGTGTTCACTTTAACACTATTGAAATATGGAAGGGATTTGATGATTGAAAAATTATTGATGTTTTAGTTATAAACACTTGATGGGTTTTATAGACATCACAACTTACCATGGCAAGTTAACAGGTTTAATTTCCTCTTCCTCGTGACCTTCCACTTTAAGTTTCATATTAAGAATATCAGAAAAATATTCACTTTTTACAATCTTCATAAGTGCATTGGCCTCACATTTAGAACCAGTTATTCTAAAAGCTGTTGGTAAATTTTCTTTAAGAGCACTCATAAATTGACTCCACTCCTCATCCGGGCATACTTTCTGTGCCTAGAGTTAAAAAGGGGTTCCAATTGTATTAGTATTTACTTACAAAATTAACTTAACATTTCAATTTTTTTTAAAAGTAACCTTATAATATTCTTCAAAACTGGCATTTTCTCTAACAATATCTTCATACGGTTTACGTGTATCTTCTGCGGGCTTCGCTTGTGGATTCTTCTCCTGCAATTTAATGCATTTAATTCAATATTATTCTTTTCATACTAAATTCAGAGGAAATGTTATTAAATTTGAATAGTACCTGCTCTCTTTTTTCTCGCTTTCTTTGTGCAAACTTATTTACGTTTCGGTTCTTGCGGCCCATTCTTCTAATATATTCTCCAAGAGATACTAGTCTTTTTTGATTAAAAATACACAACAGCATTCAACTATTTAATTCAAAATTAAATCATTTGCTGATCAAGTAATTCAAATGATACCGTGTTGTCTTTTATACAATTATTGACGGTAACGTTAACCACGATGCCCGATGATTAATGTTAATGTCTGAGTCTGACACATTTGACAACTTTGACACATTACTTCTGTGGGTTACAGATAAGATATTAGCAGTCTACTAGTGGTCGGCCTCGGGGTAAGATTTTAGAAACGAGCTGAAGTCAAAATTTAACAGGTTCGTGACGTCCGGAAGTCAGACTTTGCGCTAAGTCTCGTTTCTGAATATCATATCAAAGTAGATGATCAGCCTATTGTCTGATACTTGTTTTGCTATACTTAAAAGGATAAAAAAGGGTGCGTGTACTTATGTGTTGGTATGTTATTTAAAGCTGACGGCTTCAACACATTTACACTTTGTGCTTGTGTAGTGTCTGTGAATAAGCGCGAGGCGTGATGTCAAACTGAAATACAATCACAAATACATCATGAAAAGGCTGTCCGTCTCTCTTGCGCTCGGTCAAGCTTATGAGTATAAAAGTGACAGTTATTGTTTTGCTTTTGCTACTGTTTATGTTGATCTTTACTGTACATGTTGATCTTTTTTCGAACATTACCAGGACAATCTCGTGAAATGGTGCACAATGTTTTTAATTATTTTAAGCATCTTAATAAAAACAGTTTAATGAAAAAATTATATTTTTAATTTGACATCAGATGCGACTGGGGTTTCTAAGAGGAGTATTGAAATAATTGTTAGTGAAGTAAAAGTGAAGTGTGTTGAGCTAGATGGAGCTTATGTCGAAAAATAAAAATTATTTACACAAACTACTCTTTTACGTTCTTGGTTAGGCTTAGAACTTTTGGATTCACCCTCGTATGCACATAATATTTATATGAATTTGACACATTTTTATTTATTTACAACCCACCCAACCTTACTAAAACCAGAGTAGACTAAAATATATAGCTTGGCAAAAAAGTCATATTTTTAAACATACTGTATAGTGAAATTGCATTAGTGTGAGTACTGTGAACGCGCCAGCTTTCGATAACCCACCTATACGCGCGTAAGAAGTTATACTTCTTTGGCATTATTAAAAATAGTTTTTGATTGCATGCTAATAATTAATTACAATTAAATAATCAAAGACTGGAAAAGGAGTCATTATAGTTTATAAAAATCAGTTTACATTTGAAAAGTTTAACTTTTTAAATAAATATTTATTAATATTCACTTACATTAAGTGTGACATAAATTCTATTATTATTCGAATGTTGTTTTTAAACTATGTCCAATGCCATAGCATCTTCCGTAGGCAACTTCATTCTGTTAATTTTGTGTCACGGTGCGCGCGCATCGTAAAATTTCACTCTCATCAATTTTTATTAATGCGCCTAAAGAAGTATAACTTCAAAAATTGTCAGAAAAGCTGGATACGTAAAGAAACAACATAGTGTTGCACTTTTAACAGCGGAGGCGAAATACGTTGCATTTACTAAAGCTGCAAAGAAAGCCATTCATTAAATATTTTTATTCAGCTACTCAAATGTAAACATTTTCTTTCATCATTTATAGAATCAATAAATTTTTACCGAAAGATGTCATAAATTAATTTTATCAAATGTTTACTTTCCAATTTTCAGTCTGTGATGTCTCATGTCAGATTATGATTATTTAGATATGACAATTGACAAAACTTTTCAAATTTATTTTGTTAATTTTTATTAAGTTAGTTATCACTTATCAGTAAACCTTACCTAAACTAAATTTTTGTTGTTTTTTTATATTTTATAATTGTTATTTTTTTCTTATATTATCTTTCTCTTGCTGTATATCACAGTTGATCTGAACAGAACTGGATTCAAAAGAAGAGCAGTAAGAAAATAAATGTTTGTAAACCCATTTAATTACATAGATTGATAGTTTTATCTAAATATAAAAAATTTATTAGCAGCCGCAATGCGTCTTGGAACCTATACTACTGTCAATTTAAATATTTACTAACATTTTTTTGTGTAGTTAAGATTATTTGTTTTTGTGACTTAACTCTTAAAACTGAACCAAAATTATAAATTTTAATATATCTAACTGGTCTAACCAGATGGTATGCGAGGTATTTTTTATAACAAAGGCTACCTTTTTTCACCATCATGTATCACAACTGTTAGATACTTACATAGTTTTACTATGTTTTGGTGGAATTGTCCATAAAAAAGTTTGTGACAGTCAAACATAATGTATCTAAATCAGAATCTTATTCTAAATGTTTACATTGTGTGACAATTTATTTATATCCAAACGCACTAAGAGAAAAGCTAACCTTGAACTGCTATTCAATATCTCTTGCTAATTATAGTCTGTTGATTTTCTGTTTAGTGTATAAAAAATGTAGTGTCATGTTATGTAATGATGATTTGAGCTATTTATGCCATATCACTATGAAAGACAAAGATCTTTATGTTTATTTCTTATCAAGTTCAACAAATAATTGTGAAATAGTAGATAAGGTATTAGTTCACATTCAATGTCTTACTTGAAGACAGAAGAGTAAATCTTATTCTAAGAGCATTATTAATGGGTATTACTTTTATTTGTACAGTGATAAACCATTGACTTGCAGATAAATCAATAAAAATAAAACTTATAAAGTAACTTTTGTTCTTCAGAGATCTTGAAAAAATATATGTTTACAATTATTTAACTGGGTTTTTTACAGAAATAATGAATAACAGAGGATTCCAGTTTGCAATTGATAGAGGTGGTACATTTACTGATGTATTTGCAAAATGCCCTAATGGCAAAGTGAGGGTTATGAAACTACTGTCTGTAGATCCACAAAATTATAATGATGCACCACGAGAAGCTATAAGGAGGATATTGCAAGAGGTTTGTATTATTATTATATATTAGAAAAGGAGACGTCATCAGATTAGATACAACTACATAAAACTGATCAAATATTTATAATATTCAATTATAAATAAAAAAAACTCAAATTTGTTAAAGTATGTTTTATTTGTATGTTGTCATATAGCATATATTATTTTTATTTAGGGTATAAGAAAGCTATAAGGGACATGAAGTAATTACATTGTGAAACTACACTACAATTGTTATACTTAAAAATATTTGAAAAATTCATATTATATTTAGTCAGGGAAGCTTTCTGAACTTTTTGTTCATATGTACAGCATGCTGTTGAATAGTTTTAATAGTTACTTGTAACAAATCTTTATCAAATCAAATTACAGGAAACAGGAAATGCCCTAGACAAAGATGGAAAAGTGAACTCCACACTAATTGAATCAATAAGAATGGGTACAACAGTGGCTACAAATGCCCTGCTAGAGAGGAAAGGAGCGAAGATGGCACTTGTTATCAATAAAGGTTTTAAAGATTTGCTACTTATTGGAAATCAGGCTCGGCCAAATATATTTCAATTAGTAAGTATTATGCTTGATGCAAGGTAATGGTCCTTTTTTTAAACTGTGGCTGGTAAGCTCCTGTCACTTTCTTATCCCTTCTATAAATAAAAATTCAAATATGTAATGTCATGGAATTGTTTACGGAGTGTCAAGTATAATATGTACTTGATTACGTAATCGTAAAATTGCGTGACGTAATACTTTAACGCTCCCTTACCACTCACTGGTCACTCAATTTGTAATAGCGATAGCAAGCAGCTTCAATATTAAGCTTTCGTATCCAATGAACATAGTTCCTTAAATATTCAACTATTCATATCCTATTAGCCATTTAATAGTACAAACTAGAGAAATAGCCAAAAAAAACCTGTTAAATTTACATATTAGATGTCAAGGGGTTGGTCCCATGTTAAAATTATGACTTGTTGTAGTATCAAAGTATGAGTTTTTGATTTTTACTGATTTGATTCTTATGGTAACCATTTACAACGATAGATATGAAATTTATTTACAAAAATAGATTGCAGTTTCTTTTTTACTTAAAAAAGGAAGAACAAATTTGAGTATGATTTGACCTATCCAGCCCTCTTAACCTATATCAGCCTAAACTCTAAAGGCACTGTTTTACAATAGTACTTTCTCCTTTCTTTATTTTCGTGTTGAATGCAGATATATGGCTGTTTTAGTTATAACAGTGCAGATTAGATTTCGTTACTATGAATAATAAAATGAAAATAGCCTTTTGAGTACTACATTAGATTACATTAGGTCCATGTCATTATGTTCAACATCAGCACAAGACCTCCGTCGGCGAGAGTGTCCTCCAAATCATCACCACAATTTTCCAATCCTTCCCCACTATCCCTTTTATTCCATCTTCCCAGGTTTCTGGTAGGCTTTCTTTCTTGTTCCTACTGGGCTACACCAATTTAGGGTCTTTTTGGCCCATCTGTGCAAACATTTTTATGAATATTGAGGTATAAAAATTGAATTCTGATAGATGTCCAGAATAATTAAATTTTTATGAATTTTGTTTTTCAGAACATAAAACGACCCGAAGTTCTTTATAAAGAAGTAGTAGAGGTTGATTGTCGTGTGATACCAGCGTTAGAAGAGCGCTGTCAAATTGACAAATCCAAACAAAACTGGAAAGAAGTACAGGGTACCACAGGTCAAAAGATGCTGGTCATAAGAGATATAGACGAGGAAGCGGTAAAGAAAGATCTAGCCGCCTTAAGAGAGAAAGGGATAGATAGTATTGCGGTTGTTCTTGCTCATAGCTATAACTATCAGGAACATGAAGTGACAATTGGCAAGATTGCAAGCAATTTAGGTAGATTTTCGAAATATATACATTTTTATCTTTAATAACACAGGGAATTAGAATTTTTATATTATGTATAGCTATCTATCTATATAGTTACAATGGGTGTTGTGCATTGGTTGTTGCATTAATAATTTTTTCCCAGCATTTGACTAATTACCCTCATACTTAAATGATTTTTTTACGAGAATTTGAACATAGGACTTCTCGAAAATGTGCTTTTATAAGCTTCACCTAGCAAAGAAGTTTTGTGTTTTAATTTTGTTTAAAGTTGTGTCATAGTTTTGTCTCTTGCTCACAGGTTTCTCTCAGATATCTCTATCTCACTCTGTGACGTCCATGGTGCGCCTAGTGCCTCGGGGCTACACGGCCAGTGCTGACGCATATCTGACCCCGCATATAAGGGAATATGTGAGAGGTTTTTCTGAAGGATTCACCGATAATTTGAAAAATTCAAATGTCTTATTCATGCAGTCCGATGGCGGATTGACTCCTATGAATTTGTGAGTGAAATTATGTTAATAATGTGAATTAAAATAATCTAAATTGGAATGTATTATTTTGTCTCTTGAAACCTTGATTGGTTCAGAAACAGAACAGAAATCCTCGCCAAAGTGAGGTCGCTCTGTGAAGCTTCTGCTTCTGAACTTCTGGAAGGAGCTAGGCTGGTTTAGTTAGCCAGGACTTTATGCACAACGGAACATATTTATTATTATTTATTTCCACATATTTATTCCATCTTAACAGTTGTTATATAGTATAGAACTACACAACAATAATACCTACACCGATAATCCTAAAATATATATGTATATATAGAGTACCGAGAGTTTTTTACCCCGGCTTTTTCTCTCGGCCTACACCCTCTGTCTTCTTTGCCGATGAGTAGGGATGCCTTCAAATTTAATGACGTGGAATAAGTGATACATGTATCTTATGTTCCATAATAAACATTTTTTATTTTTTTATTTTTTTATTTTATATATATATTTATATATCTAAATCTTATAACAAATAATATAGCAAGCAACTCTTCTGAACTCAGCCAGTGTACAAATAAATAGGTTTACCTCGATGGAAATTCTATTTATTATATAGTATAATGAGCGTCTACGTAAACTTTTTTAACTAGTTGTTGCTACTACAAGAATAAAAAGCAAGCTCGTCTTCAGTAGAACTAGGGAGAAAGATCTAACGCCCTTATATAAAATAAATTAGTGTTACACCGTTTTTACTAAAGTAAAAATTTGTAATGTCTTAAAAGTGTTAAGTTGGGAAAGAGCTTGGACACAGGTGTTTCTTAAAACGTTGGGGACCTGTAATAAATACACATCCGTCTCTTAACACAGCACAAACACGTTTTGACAGAAAGAGACGTAAGAGTGCAATTGACTGATTAAGTGTTTATGAATGAGGAAGTAAATTATATTAAATTGTTAACATTATTAAACTATATCGCATTCGATATTTTATCTATAACATTTGAAAAAACTTACTTCACATAAAAATTTCAATGGTATCAACGTGAGTTGATTATTAACAATTAGTTAAAGGCCGGCAATGCACCTGGCAATGCTAGTGTCTATGGGCGGTAGAACTCTACATCAGATGAGCCTCCTGCTTGTTTACTTCTGTTATATAAAAATGGAAACACGAGCGCTTTCGTATTTATCGAATGTCTTCTGTAATGTGGTCTTCTTCTCTTCTAGATTTAACGGGTCTCGTGCAATATTATCAGGCCCTGCTGGTGGAGTTGTTGGTTATGCTTTGACTTCATACCAGAGAGATACAAATCTACCTGTCATTGGTAAGTTTACTTCTCATAACAAGTGAATCGACTCGGTAGTATATAAATTATTTAGAAGTAATGATAACTAGCGGTCTGTCCTGGCTTGACGCGTCTGGACATTTGATGTATAGGATAAATTCTACAGTCTATGTTGATCAGGGATAATATAAGATGGTAGTGGTGAAATATTTTTTCAAATCGATCTGGTAGTTTTGGAGCCATTGCAAATAAACAATCTAATTTTTTATCTTTATAACGTTAGTGCATACTTTTTAACGTTCGTACGCAGCGTACAAAGTGCACATGTCAGAAGTTACACGAATATTTTACACGATTTTTTTTTTGACAATTCACATCAATTGACCTAGTCCCATGCTAATCTGGTGAAGCTTGTGTTATGGGTGCTAGGCAACGGATATACATACATATTATACATAGATAGACCTAACACATATATAAATACATATTTAAACACCCAAGACCTAAGCACAACACCAAATGCTCATCACATCGATGTTTGTCTCAGCCGGGGATCGAACCCGGGACCCATGGATTCGCAGTCAGGATTACTAACCACTAGACAAATGAGCCCTGAAAGTAAAACTTCTTTGGCAAATTAATTTTTAAGTCTTGTTCATATTTATAAAAATGTAAAAATTTCCGAGTCTTAGAGAGAGGGAAAAAGGAAGATATGTTAGGAATTTAATTGTCATTAAAATATTAAAAGTGTCGTAGACAAATAATAGATTTTAATTTTTTTAATTTATTTCTTCGATAATAAAAACACGTAGTATTTTGATTTACAATTCATTATTTGAGATTTCAATGAACTATTTTGCATAAAATAAAAAATACTAATATTTCTCTTTACGAAATTTTAATTTAAAAAATAGAATTTCTTTCAGGTATTTCGCCCATCTTACTCTCTCTCTATCGGTCTCAATCACTCTGTCCCTTTTTTCCACAAAAGCGCTGCACATCTTCGTTACGTACCCGTAAAAAATTTACCCTCATGCGCCTAAAGAAGTTTCACTTCAAAAATTGTGTTTAAATAATTTAACAGTTCTTTGAAAAACGATATTTCCCGTTGCAGGTTTCGACATGGGCGGGACGTCTACGGACGTATCTCGTTACGCGGGTACGTTGGAACACGTACACGAAGCTACTACGGCCGGAGTGACCATACAGGCGCCTCAGTTAGGTCATTATTCATTTATTTGTTGATCAGTTTATTTGGTTTACAGTCGAATCGGTCAATCGGTTAAAAGGAAGTTTTTGAAGTATATCTGTCGCAGCTAACTAGCTTAATTAGCCGTTTAATGAACAGCCTAGCCTCTTAACCAAACAGCGTGTAAGAAGAAGTATGTAATGCTTGAATTAAAAACGATAAAAATATGTATTGATTCTTCACTATAATTTCAATAGTTGACTCTAACTTGAAAAACCATCTGTTTAGTTGTAGTTTAGATAAATAACCTAGATACCGACTGCAGCGCCATGTGCCGGGCTGATTTGTGAATCTAAACCGTCCAGGGCTCCACCCAAACGTATACAACGAAATTCATTCAAATCGATCCAGCCGTTTCAGAGGATTTGACATACGTACGTACAGTAGAGTTATATATATAAAGATAGTAATTTTCCCACAGATATAAACACAGTGGCTGCAGGTGGTGGATCAATGCTGTTCTTTAGATCGGGGTTATTCGCAGCGGGTCCGGAGTCTGCGGGTGCGCATCCCGGACCGGCTTGTTACCGCAAGAATGGACCGCTCACAGTCACGGATGCCAATTTATTACTTGGTAAGGAAATATTTTGTAGAGAATTAATAAATTTACTGTAAAAAATCAATGACGAAATATCTCATATATTATTAGTTCCCGAGTCAAATTAAATTAATCCAACTCCGGTACATCCGTCTATTGTCATAAATAATTATGACACACAAATTAACAAATTAAAATATGTGTGTGTCATAAATAATTATGACACACAAATTAACAAATTAAAACATGTGTGTGTCATAAATAATTATGACACACAAATTAACAAATTAAAGCATGTGTGTGTCATAAATAATTATGACACACAAATTAAAACATGTGTGTGTTATAAATAATTATGACACACAAATTAACAAATTAAAACATGTGTGTGTCATAAATAATTATGACACACAAATTAACAAATTAAAGCATGTGTGTGTCATAAATAATTATGACACACAAATTAAAACATGTGTGTGTCATAAATAATTATGACACACAAATTAACAAATTAAAACATGTGTGTGTCATAAATAATTATGACACACAAATTAACAAATTAAAGCATGTGTGTGTCATAAATAATTATGACACACAAATTCGAAAACATGTGTGTGTTATAAATAATTATGACACACAAATTAACAAATTAAAACATGTGTGTGTCATAAATAATTATGACACACAAATTAACAAATTAAAGCATGTGTGTGTCATAAATAATTATGACACACAAATTAAAACATGTGTGTGTCATAAATAATTATGACACACAAATTAACAAATTAAAACATGTGTGTGTCATAAATAATTATGACACACAAATTTGGTTTAAGAATAACTTTATTTCTCATAAGAATTGAAAATTCACTTACTGAGAAACACATATTTAAAACTAAGATTAAAAATTAGAGCGCACAGATGTAGGTACATATATAAAATAAGAAAACAGAACAGCACCAAAAATGTGGGTAGACATAAAAAACTTGGTCAGTCAACCAAGCGAAACACGGATGTTAGAATTTAATTTTTTCTAGAATTTAATTTTTTTCTAGATGTGGCATTGATGGCATAGTCTGATATAACAAGTTTATATTGATTATTTTATTATTTTTCATAAGACTATTTTATTTTCAGTTTATTCCTATATTTATATATTTAGGGTATGTACAAGGTTTATAAAACATTTTTACAAATTAAAATCACCTATAGGCAGATTTTGGTCAATATCAAATACACTTCTTTAACACCGTGAGTGGTGTTAGTTTAAAGTTCTTAAACATTATACATTTCAAGTGTTATCGCATTCTTGTCGATATATATATATATAAATATACATATTATATTTTGATCACTTATTTGTATGTAATTAATGTGTAAGTTTTTAGAAGCTTTTTAAATCGGGCATAATTTTGTTCTGCTTTTATAACTGATGGTAACTTATTATAAATTGTACCACCCTCATACTCCAAACTTCTTTTGCCATAGTTAGTTCTAGGAGGGCGGGTCACCAAGTAACTAGCACGTCTTAAGTTAGCATTTCGTGTTTGTTGTTTGGTTAAAATTTTTATATTAGAATTAATTTCCCTATTTAATATTTTGCGTACTAGAATACAAGTGTAGTATGTGTACGTTTGTTTAATATTCATTAATTTTGTTTCCTCGTATATCCATTCCGTAGGCGTCCGAAGTTTATAGTTAAATAAGTTTTTAATCAATCTATTCAGAGTTCTCTGGATAGGATCCAAATTACTCTTTGCTGCAGTACCCCAGACCTCAATGAGGTAGTCGACATGAGGCTTTACCAGAGAATTATAGATCAGATACCGCACTTTTTGTGGGAGACAATTTGTTATGTTTCGCAGTGCCCCTGTGAGCGGAGTTAGTTTAAGTTTAATTTTTTCTAGATGTGGCTTCCAAGTTAGGTTACTATCCAAAATAAGTCCGAGATATTTTTCTTTATGTTTTCGTTCAAGTATTTTTCCGTCTATTTTAAGTTCGAAATTATTATTTATTTTTTTATTTTTTGCTGCAAAAATAACATAATTTGTTTTTGTAATATTAATAGTTAAAAGATTTGATTGAAACCACTCATTTAACAGATTAAGATCATTTTGAGCGTCAGCTATTAGAGCTCCGATCGAGTTTCCAAAGTAAAAGAGACTTGTGTCGTCTGCATAAAGGGAGATGTCACCTTTGAGACCCAAATCACTGATACTGTTAATATAAATGAGGAACATGAGGGGGCCTAATATTGATCCCTGGGGAACGCCAAAATTCAGGATACAGGAATTGCTTTCATATTCACCTATTTTTACTATTTGTTTTCGGTTCTCCATATATGATTTAAAAATTTCAAGTGCTTTGCCTGTAACACCGGTAAGTTTTAGTTTTTGTAATAATTTTTCATGACTAATGGTGTCAAAGGCTTTTTTTAGATCGATAAATATACCTAAGGCAACTTGTTTTTGATCAATTTTATTTTTAATTTTGGTTACGAGGTCAATTGTGGCAGCGAGAGTATTTGATTGAGCTCTAAAGCCATATTGTTTTCGGTAAAAGAAACCTTTTGAATTAAGGAATGACTCTAATTGGTTATAAAGAATCTTCTCAAAGACCTTAGAAAGCACTGGGAGAACTGATATAGGGCGATAATTGCACGGGTCAAGCTTACTTCCGGCTTTATGAATTGGTACAACTTTTGCAACAATGTGAGTTGCACAAACAACAAAAATAGTTAAAACTTTCACATATTTCTTTTTTGTCCGTAATAGTACCAGCTGCCGTTTCAAGTTTGTCTGGTCCAGGTCTGTCATGCACTTTGTTTTTAGCTAAGTCATTTATAAGTCTCCACATTTTTCGTGGTTTACTAGAATTTTCTTCAAACCTCTTCAGATAATATTCACTTTTCGCTTTTCTTATATTGTGTGATACTCTTGCTTTAATATGTTCGTACTCTGCTTTTAATTTCGTGTCCACCGCATTAGTTTTATATTTTTGCCATAATATGTTCTTGCTATTTATCTCTTCTAATAGTTCTTTTTTAATCCAGTCTTGCCGCGGAGGATTCAATGTTTTAAATTTTGTGATTCTGCACTTATTTAAACAGGATTTCAGTTTCCCTGCCAATTCATCATACTCAACGTCTTCATGATTTTTAGGATATTCATCCAGGCATCGATAAAGTTTGCTGAAGTCAACTGCGTTGTATTGCTGTTTTATGATAGTTGGTGGTTGGTATTGCTTTATCTCTAAAAGTATTTGTTTGTGGTCAGACATTGAAGATTCCGTAGTGATAAAATGAAAATTATTTTCACTTAAATTACAAGATACATGGTCTAACATTGTCCTGGTTGAGGTTGTTTCGCGGGTACAGTGTTTTGGGCTTATTTTGTTCAGGATTTTGTAGTTGTTCTCTTTTAAGGTGTTCTTATATTTGCGTGTCGCTGAGTCCGGGTTGAGTAAGTCCAGGTTGTAATCGCCAAAGACTATTGTTCGTTTCAGTTTGTGTAATTGTTGTGAATATATCTCGAGAAAGTTATCCATTTTTGTTTTATTAGGCTTATAAATGGCACCGATATTTAGAGAGAATTTTTTCACGTATACCCAGAGATAATGAGTATCATCGACGCATTTTTCTTCAACAAGGTGATGTTTGAGATTGTTGTACACAAATATTGACACTCCACCGCCCCTTTTATTTTCTCTATAATTAAAGTAATGGGTATAGGAGGGTATCTGGAGCATTTTTGCCTCATCTTCACTCTTAATCCAAGTTTCCGTTAGTATAATGATATGTATGGTTACTTGTAAAGAAGCGGTAATACATCTAAGCTCATCTAATTTTCCAGGTTTGACAATACTGCGAGAGTTGGCATAGAAAAATTTCAGAGATTTTTTTGTAAAAATAATATCTGTGTAATTGTTGGTTATTTGGTAAGTTATTTTCTCTTTGGACGTCATCAGTTTTTTGGAGTTTCCTTTATTGTTGTTTCTTGCGTTTATAAGTTCGGTTATATGAGGTAAAGCTAGTTTTTTGTAATTGTTGTAATTTTTGGTATGTTGTTTACATATTTTATAGTGAGATCTTTTTCACCCTTTTCGATCCTTAGGGCAAGTTTGTCTCGCAGACCTTTTAGCTGATCTCTTTGGTACGGGGTCATATCTGAATAAACTCTAACGGGTTTACCAATTTTACTCTTGTTTTTTAAAATATCGGTAGCGGCGCGTTTATTCTCGAAGACGACTTTTATCGGACGTGGCTGTGAGGGGTTAACGACTGCCGGTTTACCTAGGCGAAACACATGCACTATCTTGGGGTCAGGGATTGGTATTGGATTGAAGGCGTCAGCTATCTTAGCTTTGTCGTAATCCTTTCTTTCCTCTGAAGAACATGATTTTAATTCCGGTATACCAAACACAATAACATTGCAACTACGCTTCCTTCTCTCCTCTATTTCATTTATAACAGTATCCAAGTTGACAATGGACGGTTGAGTGGTCTTCAGAACTTCGACCTCTTGTTGGAGCTCAGTAACCAATCTACGCAACTCTGGAACTTGTCTTAAACCGGTCTCACAGTCATTACAAAGATACGATAGTTTGTGCGTCTGAAGTCCAAAGACACGCAGTTCGGTCGCAGAAAGACCGTTGCATTTGTTACAAATGAGTCGGCAACACCCTTTGCAAGTTACTTTGACATTTTTCTCGTCCATTTTAGCAAGACACTTAAAACATTGAGACATGATGGGACTCTTTAATGTCAATATATTTATTTTATTTTTTTCTTTGTTTTTTGAGGGTAGGTCTTTTATAGCACTTTTAAATTACTAATTTTTAGAGTGTTACACAACAATAGCTATGTTTCCAATAGTTCTAGCACAAGTTAAAAGTTTTCTCCAAATCACATACACTTTTCACTACAATCGCGCGTATACAACCATATAATTAAAATAAACAAACACAAATCAACAAATTAACAAATTAAAGCATGTGTGTGTCATAAATAATTATGACACACAAATTAAAACATGTGTGTTTCATAAATAATTATGACACACAAATTAACAAATTAAAACATGTGTGTGTATGTACACGCGTTAGAAGTTATACTTCTTTGGCGTAACAAGATATAAATCATTTTAAAAATATTATCTATCGCTGTATTCTACGTTTGTAGAAAAAAACTACACTAACAATAGAAAAAAGGTATTTAATACATTGAAAGTTTCTATAACGCATTATTTAGTTAAATAAAGTTTATTTGAATATCACAAAATATAACAAAACAATTATTCCTACATAATTAAAAAAATAGACATTTTTTACTTTAAAATGTTGACTTTGCCAACTTCAGGGTGTGACGGTGTGCGCGCGCGCTTTGAAAAAATTTACTCATCGTTTTTGCCTAAGGCGCCAAAAGAAATGAGTATAACTTCAAAAACAAACATTTAATGGCTCTTTCTAGAAGATTTCTTAATTTATCGTCGTCCTTATAGCCAAGGTAAAGTTCCCTTTTGCCTAATTATGATTATTAAAACATATTAATCTCTGCAGGCCGACTTTTGCCAGAGTATTTCCCCAAGATCTTTGGAACCAATGAAAACGAGTCGTTGGATAAAGAGGCCACAACGAAAGCTTTTACAAATATGACGCATGACATCAATAACTTCTTAAAACAAGATGGCGGCAAAGAGGTATTTAAAGCATTTTATTTTAGCAACGTTCACGGTCGGTTGAATTTAATTATTAACATTTCCTGATAAGCCTAGCAGTCCCTACATATATGTTATAATCGTATGGTGTATTATTTATCATCCCCCTAACAAATAAAATGAACACATACAAACATAATGAACATACATATTTCAGATGACTATGGAGGAGGTGGCAATGGGCTTTCTGAATGTGGCAAACGAGGCCATGTGTAGACCTATCAGGTGAGTTATTAGGTTATTCGCGTGACTTCTTTAGGCGCATGAGGGTAATTTTTTACGGATGAAACGCAATAATAATAGAAATAAGAAAAGGGAGAGAGCGATTGAGAGAGAGTGAGAAAGGGCAAACGTAGCATGAAGCAAATAGCCATGGAGCAAGAGGTAGGAGAGAGCTACAGTGAGAAAGATTGAGAAAAAGAGTAAGGGAGATCGAGAAAAAATACACGATATTGGTTGATGTATTCGTTAAGTAGTCACATATTAGAACTTTAAATGGAATTCTGTCGCATAACTTCTTATGCAGTAAACGCAGATTTTTTATTTATTTATATTAAAATTAGCACGTATACAATGTGTAAATAATATAACGTAATGTTAACTTTCAACTATGTATCAGAAAAACTAGGAAAATAGGAGCAAAAGAGTTTTCTGTCTTTTTGACGTGACAACGTCTAATAAATCGATGAACGCCGACTGCACGCACGAAAAAGCATGACTCACTGTCCCTCTTCCACTCGAAGACTTAAATATGCAATCATTTCATCAATGTTATGTCATACGTTGTCACGTCAAACTGTCGTCCGTAAACCGACTTTACAGAAAACTTTTTTTTTTATTATTTTGTCGTTTTAATTTTTCTTTTCTATATAATTTTTTTTAGGTAAGTACTACTAAACTCAATATCATTTTGTTTTATGATGTGTTTGCCCCATTTTTTTAATATTTGTGTGTTTTAATATAAATTATACACGGCTACAATTTATTAATTTAATAGGCTTTACAATAATTTAAGTTTTTTTTAATGTGATACTGAATTTTTCTTAATTATGTATGAAATATTCAATACATATTTTTTATTCATATACAGTACTTACAATAATATTCTTATCCTTAATTTTTTTATTTATTGTCAGAGCGCTAACAACCGCCCGTGGTTATGATGCCCGTTCGCACGCTCTGTCGTGTTTCGGAGGCGCTGGAGGTCAGCACGCATGCGCTGTCGCCAAACAACTCGGCATTACTACTGTACTTGTCCATAAATATGCTGGTATGTTTTAGAATAATTTATTTTTCTATACAATTACGGCATTAGTATGACGTTTGAGGGAGCGCAACTATTGTATAGCCTGCCTGCAGTCGATGTAATCGACACATGGCCCTCCAAACTCCAAAAAAGTACATTGTTTCTTTCCATTTTTCGTTATCGTTTCTTGAAGTAGGGCGAATGGAAAAAATATATAGTGGAGTTGAGTAGTTTATGTATTCATTTTGAAAAATCGATACACGATTTAAATAACTTCGCTTAAAAAAAATCCAAACATAACCAATTTTTGACATTTTGAATTCATTTTATGACGAACATGTATATAGTGGTTCCACATAGTGGTAGCGGTAGAACTGCCTTAAAAACTTAACTCTTGCTATATTAAATAAGACGAAAAACAAAAGTGATAGATGACATTATGACCTTAAACAGAAGTGGCATTGGGCTGGGCAAATAGCAAGATGCACAGGACTTCAAAGACAACTATATGGAAAGGATAAAGGAGAACGGGGCGCCCTAAAAATTGTGGAAAGAAGAAATAGATGCGGTTGCAGGAAACGAATGGAGAAAGAAAGCCATGGATAGAGCGAATGGAAAAAAAAGATGGTGGAGGCCTTTACCCGTGAAAGGGTTCCGATAATTGGTACTGAAGAAAGTTAGGATATTAGGATTACAAAAAAAATATTGAACAAATCTAAAAATATATTGAATTGAATATACAATTCAACATTTTAATTATGATTATAGAAAAAGCTCTTAAAAGCCGTAGACTTTAAATTTCATACACATTTACAGGTATCCTATCAGCGTACGGCATGGCTTTAGCCGATGTGGTACAAGAAGCGCAGAACCCGTGTGCCCTGGTGTACGCTCCGAATAATTTCGCCGAGCTGGATAGACAACTGGAAGTGTTAGCTGGTGTCTGTAAGAGCAAGTTAAAGGAACAGGTTTGTTTGGTTCAATTTTAATTTCGAGTTTAATTTCTATTGTGTTATATTAAATTTCATATAACGTAGCTTTTAAACCACACAACTTGCTTGACCAGTGTTGGCTAGCTACAGCGTGCGACTCTCATCCCTAAGGTCGTAGGTTCGACCCCCGGATATGCACCAATGGACGTTCTTTCTATGTTTAATATACGCTCGAACGGTGATGGAAAACATCGTGAGGATATCGGCTTGCCTTAGACCCGAAAAGTCGACATGAGTCAGACACAGAAGGCTGATGACCTACTTGCCTATTAGATTGACAAATGATCTTGAAACAGATACATACATCTTATGCCCTGACTAAAAAAGGTGGTAGCGCCACTGATTTATTTATTTTATTAAAACGCGGGTAGACGCTATAAACAAGTACCCACATATAAATTTTTGGCAGATGCCAATATCTCACTAAAGATAGGAAACAATTCCAGGGTTTCAAGGACTCCCAAATAGTGCTGGAGCCCTACTTGCATCTCCGGTACTCTGGTACTGATTGTGCTTTAATGGTATCCCCGAGTACCGGGGACTCCCCGCATACAACTAGACATGGGGACTTCTATACTTCTTTTATTAACAGGTGAGACCGGGAAAATGTCTTTTATTAATATTATTATATTTGCTTCTTGATATATTATATTAGAAAGTTAGAAGATAGATAGATAATTATATTCTATGCGTATCATGTGAGAGAATGTCTATGGGTCCATCATTTAACATAAGGTGAGCCTCCTACTCGTTTGCCACCTTTTCTATAAAAAAATATTGTACTAATTTCAATATCATGTTATTTTATTATGTTTGTGGCCCAATTTTTTAAATCTCGTGTTTGAATATAAATCATATTAATATATTTTTTAATAAGGACAACAATACGCAAAATTTATTATAATTTGAGTTAATTTTTTTTTTATAATACTGAATTTTTCTTAATTATGATATTCGTAACGTATAAAATATTTGTTGCGGCGATAAGGTTGCTTTTTGACTGGTGAACTATTAAGTATAATTTTAGTGCAATGAAACGTCTGCTTCGCGTTGAATCTACTTTATTACTACATATTAAAATTACAACATAATATGACTGAACATATCCGCCCACCAAAGGACCTTTAATGTCCTTTCAAAAGATTACATGCAAACCCTTAATATATACTTTAACAATTTGGCACTTAAGCTTCATTAATTGGGAGATAGCAAAGATTAGATACAGATCGTTTTACAATATTATTTCCATTTTTAACACTATAAACTCGAGTTACGCCATCTGATCCTGGATGTTTTTCAGTAATTCGTCCAAGGATCCATTTTCCAGGTGGTAAATTTTGTTGTTTTATCAGTACGATATCACCAATTTTAAATTCTTCTACTCTTTTTAACCATTTTGGCCGTTGTTGTAGATTGGTCAAGTATTCATTTTGCCAACGACACCAAAAATCGTTTAATAGCTTTTGTGTATATTGCCAACGGGCTAAATGTGAAATTTTGATATCGTTCAACTTTGGATGCGGTACAACTATTGGGGCTTCACCAATTAGAAAGTGTCCAGGTGTTAATGGATCAAGAGTATCATCTGCTTGGCTTATATGGCAGAGTGGCCGTGAGTTAAGACATGCTTCGATTTCACATAAAACAGTGGACATCTCTTCGAAGGTAAGGTTGCTATTAAGAATTCATTTTAAATGATACTTCATTGACTTAACTCCAGCCTCCCAGAGTCCTCCGAAGTTTGGTGAGTATGCAGGAATGAAGTGCCACTGAGTGCCATCATTTGCTAAGCTGTCTATGATTTCTTGGTCAAATTGCAATTTTGCTTCTTCCCATGCTTTACATAACTCTTTGTTTGCTCCTACGAAGTTTTTTCCCTGATCACTCCAAAGATGTGCGCATTTACCTCTTCTTGATGTAAATCGTCTGTATGCAGCTATGAATGAATTTGACGTCATGTCACCGACTAGTTCTATGTGAATTGCTTTAGTAGACATACAGACAAAAATCGCAGCGTAGGCTTTGTTTGTTTTGATACCTCTTCCTTTGTTCATCAAAATTTGAAATGGACCAGCGAAATCTACACCTGCATTGATAAATGGTCGAGAAAGTGTGGTACGAACGGAAGGTAAATCACCCATTAATTGAGTTTTTACCTTTGCACTTTCCTTAGCGCAAATTAGACATCGATGGATATGCTTCTTTGTCATGTCTTTTGCACGCAATACCCAATATTTAGACCGTAAATAACAAAGCATAAGCTGAATACCTCCATGTAATGTTGTTTTATGAGCGTCGGCGATAATAAGTGAGACAAGAGTGTTGTTGTTTCCAATGATTATAGGATGTTTAGTATTTGTTTCTAAACTTGATTTTGCTAATCTTCCGCCCACCCTGAGCACTCCATTATTATCTAAAAATGGATTTAGCGTCTTCAATTTACTGTTCTTTTTCCTTAACGAATCTATTTCAGTTTCGAATTCTTCATTTTGCACTATTTTGATACATGTTAGTAATGCTTCTTCTATATCTTCTGTTGTGATAATTATGTTTTTATTATCCTTTTTAAACTTGATAAACTTTTTACAATAAGCTATGGTTCTTAATAGTTCATTTAAGGTAGTAAATCTTTCAAATTTTTCAGAAAATCTTTTATCTTCTTTAATGTTTGTCAATATGAAAGTTTTAATTCTTTCCTTTTTCTTTTCTAGATCTGTTGTAAATATGTTCTCGTCTGTTAAGATGATTTCTCCTTTTTGTAACCAAGTAGGTCCTTTCCACCAAAGGTTGCAGTGTTTCAAATCGGAGATAAACATACCTCTAGATGCAATATCTGCTGGATTTTCTTGTGACTGGACATGATGCCATTGTTCTTTTTATGATTTGTTAAAATTTCTACTACACGATTGGCCACAAATGGCTTCCATTTCGTGGGTTCGCCAGACAACCAAGCTATGACTATAGATGAATCTGTCCATGCGAAAACTCTTTCCATCGGTATTCTCATGGCCTGTGCTACTTGGTTCAATAGTCGGGATAAGAGCAAAGCTCCAGAAAGTTCTAATTTTGGCAACGAAATTGTCTTGAGGGGAGCCACTCTGGTTCTGGCTGCAATTAATGCAGTTCTATATGAACCGTCCGTTTTCTTGACTAGGCAATACACCACGGCGGCGTAAGCTAAAATAGAAGCATCACAATAACCATGAATTTGAATTGTATCCATGTTGGAGCAAGAAGTATCTACCCATCGATCGATAGAAATGTTATTCACATTCATAATATCTCGGCGAATCTTCAACCATTCTTCTTTCAGAAAAATGTTAAGATCCTCATCCCAATGAACCTGTTCAAGCCATAGTTTTTGAATTAATATTTTAGCTTGAACAATACTAGGTGCAATCCAACCTAAAGGGTCGAACAACTTTTGTATATCTGAGAGGATATTCCGCTTCGTGATAATGTTTTCTTCATCGACTTCAGGTAGGTTTAAGTTGTATTCAAATCGATCATTCCCTAAATTCCATTGAACCCCTAGTGCTTTAATTATTCCATCTAGTTTTAAATCGAAATGAGCTTTAGTAGTTCTTTCATCTGGTTTTAAACTTTGCATAAACTCAGTATTATTAGAGGACCATTTCTTCAACTCGAATCCTCCTCTACGTAACAATTCTTTTAAATCCTTGCTTATCTGAATTGCTTTTTGAACGTCATCACTTCCAGACATGCAATCATCAACATAGAAATCTTCATTTAATATTCTAGCTGCTTCAGGAAACTTATCCCCTTCATCAATCGCTAATTGCTTCAGAGTTTTTACTGCAAGATACGGTGCTGAGGCTGTCCCGAACGTTACAGTAAGAAGGCGATAGTCACGTATCTCATCGGATGGATTTTCTCTCCATACTATACGCTGGTAATCAACATCATCTCTATGAATTTTTATCATTCTATACATCATTTGAATATCTGAGACGAAACAAATTGCATGAATACGCCATCTCATGATTAAATTTCTTAAATCTTCTTGCAAAACTGGACCTGACAGAAGCTCCTCGTTAAGTGAAATATTGTTGGAGCCCTTACAGGAAGCATCAAAAACAACTCGTGTCTTCGTAGTTTCTTTGTCCTGACGGACAACAGCGTGGTGAGGTAAGTAAACTGATTTTTTATGTAATTCTTTTTCAGGTACTTCTTCAATATGATTTAACGTTTTATATTCGTTTATTACTTTCAGATATTCGTCTTTTAGTTCTGGATTTCTACTAAATCTTCTTTCAAGCTGCATTAATCTCTTAATTGCTGTTTCTTTTGTATTTCCTTCAGACGACAATAGTGCTTCAGTTTTAAAGGGTAATCTAACTATATATCTTCCTTCGTCATTCCTAGCATGAGTTTCTTTATAAAATTCTTCACATCTCAATTCTTCTTTAGTTAAATTACGTTTTGTGACTGTATCTATCTCCCAAATAGTTTTAATTAAATCATTAAAACTTGCATCAGTTGTGATATTCATTGCCATTATGCCTTTATGCTTTGGTTTCATGTTGATATTTATTCCACCCATCACAATCCATCCCAGGCTGGTTTTCTGTGCGCATACTGTGCCTGATGGACCCTTGATTAATCCTTGTTTAAGAATTGCTGTATACTCTTGCACCCCTAATAGCAAATCCAATGCTCCGGAATCCATAAAATTTGGATCTGCTAGATTCAATTTCTCAAAGTGACGCAGTTCCTGTTGCAAATATTCTGATGAAGGTATGTTAAACTTTAATGGCTGTGACATCACGTAGGCGTGTATTGGTAGCTCAAAGTTAGGTTCCCAACGTGATAATAAATCAAAATTGACTTCTTGTTTGATGTTTACCTTCATATTATCCATACCCGTGACGACCAAATTTACAGGTTTGCGTTGCAATTTTAGTGCTTGAGTTGCCTTTTGAGTGATAAAGCATGACTGCGACCCCGAATCTATTAGCGCCCTAAGTAAAGTTGTGTGCCCATAGTTTCCCTTTATAACCACAATTGCGGTTGCCAATAGATTGATATGTTCTGTAACATTATGTAAAGCTGTCATTGTAGCAAGAGTCTTCTCCTCTTCCTGAGGTAATGTCATCGGTTGCTTGAGTTCTAAAGATGCCGACGCATTTGCTTTAGTTGACTGATGAAGAAGAGAATGATGACGAGCCTTGCATATTCGACATGAAAGAGGTAAATTACATCTAAATGCCGAATGCCCTGGAGCCAAGCAGTTGAAGCAGAGTTTGTTGTGTTGTGCATAGTGACTTCTTTCCGCAGGTGACATTTTTGAGAATGTTTTGCAACGACATAAGCTATGATTTTCCTTACACATAATACATGTCTTCTCTATAGACATGTGGAAAACACGTTCTCTTAACGGCTTGAGAGTTGGTTTAAAAGGTGGATTTAACAATTCTAACGTTCTAAATTTTCCTTCTAAAAACTTCTGTAATTCAAACCAGGTAGATAATTCTTCTTGACTCATATCATACGAAAATTGTTCCCATTCTTTATGAGTATCTGGATCCAACCTTTGAACTACTAAAAATACAATTATAGGGTCCCATGACTCTGTGGACACCTTAAGATTTTGTAAGCTGTTTAAAACTTCATTTGTTGTATCTAATATTCCTTTTAATTGTAACGCCGATTGTGACATAATTTTCTTTTGTGAAAATAATCGTTTAAATAATGAATTAATAATCATTCGTTTATTCCCATATCTAAGTTTTAGAGTCTCCCAAGCAGATAAGTAATTCGATTCCGTGATTTGGATGTGTTTTAATAAGGATGCTGCTTCACCTGTTATGCTGCATTTCAAATAATGTAGTCGCTGAACATTAGATAGTGACTTGTTATCATGTACCAGTGCAACAAAAATATCTTTGTAAGAAGGCCATTCTTCATAATTACCCGAAAAAGTAGGTAATTCAATGCGCGGGAGTCGAACCTGTGATTGTACGTTGTGTTCGACTGCAGTGGAGACGTTCCCCTGATTACAGGATTGTTGTCCTCTTTGAATTTCAAGACCTTCTAACATATCCCTGATGTCAGACACCATACATAAATATAAATCCTCGATCAAATAATAATCCTCATTGACAAAATATGGTAAAATTGACTTTTGTTCACGCGGCGTAATTTTTATTAAATCTAAATGTGCACTTTTATACGTCTTCCAGTAACTTTCTATACACTCCATCCGTGTTTGTAGATAACCTTTCGTAAGTCTAGCCTTTGCACATTTTTTAATATTTATTTGAGTCTTTTTTAATAGTTCATTATTATTTTCAAGTACACTTAATAACTGTTCCACATTTGCCATAATCCTCACTTAAAGTCACTTGCACGTTCTATTTCAATATTATTCACAAGTTATAAGTCTAAAAATTGCACAAAATAGTTGCTAAACGTGTTCCTTATCGCAATGGAATGCGTAGTCTATTGTTCCTTCGATGCAGCTCAGTAGACACAAGATCCGGCTCGAAGGACCATATGTTGCGGCGATAAGGTTGCTTTTTGACTGGTGAACTATTAAGTATAATTTTAGTGCAATGAAACGTCTGCTTCGCGTTGAATCTACTTTATTACTACATATTAAAATTACAACATAATATGACTGAACAATATTCAATACATATATATACTGTTTATTCATATATGTATAGTACTAGCTGACCCGGCAAACGTCGTTTTGCCATGTATATTATTTATAGGAAACATTGTTTTAGTTCAATAAAAATAACTATCTACTATAATAAAAAATAGGGGTTGATCGTAGAGGGGTGAAAATTAGGGGTTGTATGTATTTTTGTATGCTGTATCATAAAAAAATTATTGGGGTGGACACCCCTTATCACTCAGGAGTTTGAAAGATAGATAGTAGCCGATACTCAGACTTACTGATTATGCATTAAAAAATTCATAAGAATCGGTCCAGCCCTTTCGGAGGAGTATGGGAACGAACATTGTGACACGAGAATTTTATATATTAGATTTACAATGTTCTTAACCTAAACAATAATAATCATTAAATATTTGTAAATAGAAAGAAAAAAAAGTTTGGTTCCTTTGGCAGTGTGTTAATGTTGGCAGGATTTCCTCTTTGTATTGTGATACTTAAATATTCTTGGTATTAATTTGATATATTTTTAACTATTAGGTACAAGAAAGAATTTGGCTTCACTCTAACAGAGCGGGATGTTTTGGTGGATGATGTAAGGGTCCGTGGGATCGGTAGAAGTCAAGTTTTAGAAGAGAACGCGCCACCTAACGGTAAAGGGACGCCACCGTTTGAGAAGGTAATAAAAAAACTCAGTGTTCAAATAAAATTAAAAAAAGTGATAAAAGCAAAAAAAAAATCGGTAATATTTACACAAATTAAAAGAAAAATAGTTATGTAACCTAATTAATGTTATTTATTTAATAAGTTTAATATATTTGAACATTCCTCGAAGAACTGCCACCGAACTTATTAAATTAATTGAAGTCTAATTTTAGTCGCTAGCTAATATTAGACTTCAATTAATTTAATATACATTTTAATTAACACTTTTATTAATTTTACTATACACCTTTACACAAGATTTCATTACGTACACTGGCAACTTTTATTATATTTATTTTTCTACTAAGTATTTATTACATTCCTTTTCTTTCTATTTTTGCGACTGAGGCGCAACTAGTTGCTGTGGTCTGTGACAGAATGACCAGCGCTGTGGAACATTCTGCTCCTCAGCATAATGCCGAGCCAGGGCCAATTACAGCCCCAGCACACACGCATTACACACTTGAAACGAACCGAATGCGAAAAGGGATTTTTTTATCTCTCATTATACATATCTTTATTTTTTTTATTATTTTTAGTTTTAGTTTTTGTTTGTAATAAATGTTATGTCTATGAACTAAACAGATTTCATTTCTAGGCTTTTAGCATTATTTTTAATTCTTATTTTAATTTCTTATTAGGTTGTATACATAGTTTTCGTTCATTTTAAGTTTGAATACTGGTTACGTTATAGTCCCGTAAATGTTAAATAAATAATGATCACTTTCAGACTGTGAAAGTTTACTTCGAAGGCGGCTATCAAGAGACTTCTGTGTATTTGTTGGAGAAGCTCCAACCAGGCCAGGACGTCCTCGGTCCCGCTATCATTATGGACAGTCTGTCCACTATATTAGTCGAGCCTGGTAAGTTCTTCTTGTATTCTGAAAATTGTTTTGTTTGCTTAGTGTACAATATCTCTTTATCTATTTTCCTATGTTTATCGCTCAGGAATTATTATAATTAGTTTTTTTTTGTCAGTATTTTTCAACCTCAATTGATAGGATTAGATATAAATATGACTGAAAATTCAATGGATATATACTATATAGCGTATATTTGTGTTCAAAACATAGTTATTAGTTATGAAGAATACATTAACTTGGTTTTTAAGAAAAATCTGGCGTAAAAGAAATCAAATAATTAAAAAAAAATTGCGGTAACTTGCCTGATTGCTTTCAAGCAATCTCTTGCAGACAATCATTGTGAAAAAAAATTTAAATTAAGGTGAGCGCAAAAATAATGAATCAAAATAAAATAGTTAAAACATAATATGGAAGGACATATTTATAGCATATAATAAATCTTCTACAAAAAAGAAATCGGTAAAGCTACAATATTTTTAGGTCTGGGCCTCAGACTCCTGTATCTGTTTCGTGATCATTCGGCTATCTAATAGGCAAGTAGGTCATCAGCCTTCTGTGCCCGACTCATGTCGACTTTTCGGGTATAAGGCAAACCGGTTTCCTCACGATGTTTTCCTTCACCGTTCGAGCAAACGTTAAATGCGCACATAGAAAGTACATTGGTGCACAGCCGGGGATCGACCTCAAGGATGAGAGTCGCACGCTGAAGCCACTGGGCCAAACCTCTTACAACCGTTACAATATTTTTTTTTAATATCCGATATTGCTATTTTATTCAGACTGCCGAGCCACTATAACGAAATACGGCGACATCCGTATAACGATCGGCGAGGGCAAACGGAAGGAAGTGTCGACGGACTGCGACTCGGTCCAACTGAGTATATTTTCTCATAGATTTATGTCCATCGCTGAACAAATGGGGAGGTAAGTGTTTAAGAGCGCGCATAAGGCTAGCAAAATTCATGATTTCACCTTTGCGTCTCCCTCCCTCCTCTAGGGACTAGTGAAACAAACGTATGCCTGAAGTTCGCGTGAGATGAGACGGACGATACAGAGTTGTGCGGAACAGAAATGAAGTAAACGCCACATGCGCACATTTATATAACTCGTAAAACATACAATAAAATATATAATCAAGTAATGTGTAAATTCAATTATTTTTTGGCTGCATAATACTCGCTATGATTAAATAAAAACGAACTTTGTGTTTTTAATTAGAGTCAACCATCGAAATTATAGTGAAGAATCAATAAATATTTATTGTTTTTAATGTTCCAATGTATAAGTGTGCCTAGCGTTGGCAAGCTTTTGTAAATAAATAAATATTTTAATTGACATTTTATTGAAATATAAATTATTCATATTTAATGTGTTTTTATGAACGTCAATAACCTCGACCGTTCCACAACTGAGCGTTTTTAGCAGGTTTTGCCGCGACACGCTATGTGCTGCGCAATAAAGTATTTCCAAAAACCTCGACTTAGGGTCCTTCTAGAAAAAAGCCTACCAATTCTTACAAAGTCAACAACGCACTTGCGAGCCCTCTGGCGCTGATAGTGTCCATGGGCACTTAACATAAGCTAAGTCTCCGGCTGGTTTGCCCCCGGTTACATTAAAAAAACTCCGACTCCTAACTATCGCGCAGGCGCATTAGACGTTCCGAGAGTCAATCACGTGACAGTAGTTTTCGAACAAAGGATTTACTTCGGTTGAATGATTTTACGCCGGGAATTGGGTCGGTTTTGGATGGACGAACTTCTATTTTTAGACATAGGTTCCCGTGTTTAAGTATTATTTTGTTCTATTCTATAGAGGTTTTTGATTTACAGGGTGTTACAAAGGACGTCAATATCGGTGAATATAAAGGAGCGTTTGGATTTCTCGTGCGCACTGTTCGGCCCCGACGGAGGCCTAGTGTCGAACGCGCCACATATTCCCGTACATTTGGGAGCCATGCAGGAAACTGTGCAGTACCAGGTACCTATACATTACAACTTTCATGATGTATGAGATAACCAACTGTAATTAATGGTTAATTAGAGTCTTTTGTATATATCTATTTTTTTCTCATATTTTAAACTTTATTCTAACATTATCATGTAAAACTATGTTAAATATGATCTGCTATCGTTGTCTCGAGACGTCCGTACTATTTAATAATGAAATTGTTTAACTTGAGAAAGCTTAGGTTATTTAAATTTTATTTAAGTAATATATTTTTTTTAAACCCTTTTTATAAAACCAATTTCAAAAACAGTGATAGTTTTAAGGTTATATGTTCACTGTCAATAGTAAATGTCTAAAGCACGCTAAACTGAGTAGAGAGAGGGGAAAGCCTCTGTCCGAAATACGGCTGGCGCTGCGGGTTAGAGTAAGAGAAGTGGAGCATGCATAACGCCCCAGTAATCGTGAGAAAAAGGGGAGGTAGACAGACTGGCGCGTCGTAACGCGTTACGTAACGAAGCCCTTTACCCTCCCATAAGAAGTATCACTTCAAAAAGATTATTGCTCGGCTTCACGATGTCGTGAAACTAAACGATACTCCATCATCCATGTTATACATCATGTTATGCCACGTTGTGTTGTTTTTTTTTTAAATGTTTTGAAACGCCAATTTTGATTAATTTAATATGTATTATCGTAGATGAAAGTCCGCGGTGACTCAATGAAGCCAGGCGACGTGTTTCTCGCGAATCACCCGAAGGCCGGGGGTTCTCATCTCCCAGATTTAACTGTTATAACGCCTGTTTTCCACAAGTAAGATAACTTTTATATAACGAAATATATGAAAAAAAATATCCAGCATTATATATTTTTTTTATTTATATGTATGGGATATAGTAGCCTATCAGCCACACGGAAAGGCAGATCTGTGGCCGAGAAGCTAGGCAAAAGGAGAGTTTCAAATCTCTCCGTTCCTAAAAAGGAACTAATTTGCTTAAAAGTCTTGGCGTCTCCCGCCGGGCCCCGATGACAACTACTCCGGAAATATCCTCATGAGAATATTATGGGCGAGCCGGAGTCTGCTGGCCATATTTGACCATATTTAATGTTGGATAGCGCGGCATACCCTCATGCCAGTTTTGAGGTCCAGATCGCACCTGGCTAAAAGTACTACTTTATGATATCTGAGTGTTACAGCAAAATCATCTTTTCCGACACAGTTCCAAAAAACCGATATTCTTCGTGGCGTCCCGTGGCCATCACGCAGATATAGGGGGTTTGACTCCCGGCTCTATGCCTCCCCACTCCACCAGTCTCGCTCACGAGGGAGCAGCTTTCAAGTCCATGTTATTGGTCGACGGAGGGAAATTTAATGAAGAAGAATTGGTCAGAGGTGAGTTTCAACACCTATATCGTCAAAGAATTATCTACTAAATAGAAAAAATGTTTTATTAATAATAATAAAAGCCACTTTAATTCCATACTGTTAAAAAAATTTGATATAAAATGGATGTTAGTTTTGTTTACTTCCCATTACTTCGGGTCGATACTGCAGCGATACTCCTTCTCCTGACATTTCCATTTGGTTCTCAGCTTCCTCCTTCCATTTCTCTCCAGAAACCTTTACTATGTCATCAGCCCATCGCTGTGGTCTTCCCACGTTTGCTTTTTCGTCCCCTCCAGCGGATGGCTTCGGCGGTCCTTCTTCTGTCTGTTCACCTTGCAGTATGGCCTGCCTATTACCATTTCAGCTGTAAGGCGTGGTTTAGCCCGTCGGTGATAGTTTTCACCCTGATGAGGCCAATTTAGGCAATCGTAATTAAATACTACCCTTATATGAACGTTTTAGTTCAGAGCTACTAGTGCCGGGATTCAAGAACAGCTTCAGACTGTAAATACAAATTGCAGAACAGGTCTTTTCTAATCACCAAAATTCACAAAATACATGTCGAATGAAATGAGAACAATTCGTAACTAAATTTGATATGAATTTTAATTTTTTCAGAGCTGATGAAACCTGGGGAAGTACCAGGTTGTTCGGGTACGAGGAATCTAACTGATAATTTATCGGATTTAAAGGCGCAGGTAGCGGCCAATCAGAGGGTATGTAATATTTATCTATAGAGAGTTAGATAGGCATGTAGGAGTATATCAGGTTAGAATAGAAACGTCATAAGTACTTAATCAACTTAATTAAAATAACCTTTATTCAAGTACTACATAAATTATTCCATGTCATTATGTTTAACATTAGTACACGACCTCCGAAGGAGGGACGGAGGGAGGACTATTTTCCAATCCTTCTCCGCTATCCCTTTTATTCCATCTTCCCATGTGTCTAGTGGGTATACCCAAGTAAGGGTCTTTTTGACCCACCCCAAAACGCGGGTAATGAGACCGGCCGCTTTCCACTTTAACTTTCTAAATTTTAAATTAAAATAACTTAACAATAATTACGCAGCACACTTAAGCAAAGTTTAAAATGAAAGGAGAACAATTAAGAAAAGCTAGCGAAAAGAATATAAGAGGAAAAAGCTTCTGTATTTGGTTTCTTGGCGTGAACTGTTCGCTACAGGCTACGCCCTCCGTGCCGTACACATAACGCAACAACGATACACACGACCGTACTCATAACGCACACAACGATACACACGACCGTACACATAACGCACACAACGATACACACGACCGTACACATAACGCACACAACGATACACACGACCGTACACATAACGCACGCAACGATACACACGACCGTACACATAACTCACACAACGATACACACAACCGTACACATATCAAACACAACCGTAAACATAATGTACTCAACGATACACACGACCGTACACATAACGCACGCAACGATACACACAACGCACACAACGATACACACGACCGTACACATAACTCACACAACGATACACACAACCGTACACATATCAGACACAACCGTACACATAATGTACTCAACGATACACAACGATAAAATCGCCGACCCGGTGGAAAAGAGAAGTGATGATTTTGTGCGCTACCAATTAGCTAACAACAACGCCTCTACAAAAAGCGTACCAATTCTTAAAAGGCCGGCAACACACACGCGAGCCCTCTGGGATTGAGAGTATCCATGGGTAAATGCCACTTAACATCAGGTGAGCCTCTTGCCCGATTGCCCCCTGTTATGCCCCCTATATAAACAAAAAAAAAATAACAATAAAATTTATTTTTGTCTGTATTGTCTTCTACTAGACTTTAAAGCTAAATGTAATTTTCAGGGGATCCAATTAGTCGGTGAGCTGATAGACGAGTACACTCTTCCAGTGGTACAGGCGTACATGGCGCACATACAGAAGAACGCTGAATTGGCAGTTAGGGATATGCTAAGGGTACGCGAGACTCCATTTTTCCTATTTAAATAACTCTGACAAATTCTCTTGATTTTTAATTTTATATGATTAATGATTATATTAGATAAATGCAGTCGTGGCCTAGTGGTTCAGCGTTCGACTCTCATCCTTGAGGTCGTAGGTTTGATCCCTGGCTGTGCACTAATGGACTTTCTTTCTATGTACGCATTTAACATTCGCTCGAACGGTGAAGGAAAACATCGTAAAGAAACCCGCTTGCGTTAGACTCGAAAGGTCAAAGCGTGTGTCTGACACAGGAGGCCGATCACCTTCTTGCCTATTTGATTGACTAATGAATATGAAATATACAGAAATCTGAGGCCCAGACCTAAAAAAGGTTGTAGCACCACTGATTTCATTTATTTTATATAAATATGTTTAGAAATTAAGTGCCAAGTTCAATTCCAGGAAATTGCTAGAAAATCTCTAAAAAACACGGGAACAAAAATATTAAAGGCCACCGAACACATGGATAATGGCAGTCCAATAGTACTCACGGTCACCCTTGATGAAGACCAGGGATCAGCTATTTGTGATTTTACGTAAGTTATACTGCACTTTATGACTGTGTTGGCTTAGTGGCTTTCTTTGTACGTATTTAACACTCGCTGGTACGATGAAGGAGTCTTAGAGTCATTCGTCGGCGTGTATTACACTTATTGGTCTGTTATCTAAAGCTGGCGGCTTCAACACATCTACACTTTGTGCTTGTGTGGTATCTGTGAATAAGCGCGAGGCGTGACGTCACACTGAATATGCATCATGAAAAGACTGTCCGTCTCGCTCGCGCTCGGTCAAGCTTATGAGTATAAAAGAGACAGTTATTGTTTTGCTTTTGCTACTGTTTATAAATACATGTTGATCTTTTTTCTCATTATGATTTTGTCTGTGATTGTTTACTTATTTGGTTGGAAGTTAGAATACTAAGGAAAAAATGTCTTATGAAATAATTGGTTCCGGCAGAACATTAACAGGCAATCTCGTGAAATAGTGAACTATGTTTTTCATTATTTTAAGCATCTTAATAAAAACATTTAAGTAAGTAAATGAAAGAATTGTTAGTGAAGTACGCAATCAAAATAATGTGATATATTAAATTATCGTATAATATATCACATCCAGAAAAAAACACAAAGCCCAACCCACCCAACCTTACTAAAACCAGAGTAGACTAAATATAGCTTGGCAAAAAAGTCATATTTTTAAACATATTGTATAGTGAAATTGCATTAGTGTGAGTACTGTGAACGCGCCAGCTATCGAAAACCTAGAAGTTCTGTTCAGAGGAGTTGTTCGGACTAATACCTGCAGCTGAGTTTCATCATCGGACGTCGAGGCAGAATACAAAATACCATCCGTATCACCTTGTTTCTTTAGGCAGTTTTTGCCGCGCACCACCACTATGTGAACCAGCTGCCCACTGGAGTATTTTCTGACTTAGGGTCCTTCAAGAAACGAGCATACCAATTCTTAAAAGTTCAGCAATTGCGAGCCTCCTGGCAATGTGAGTGTCCATGGGCGGCGGTATCACTTAACATCAGGTGAGCCTCCTGCCTGGGATTTCTTTATCTGATTTATCAAAACATTTTTAGGCAAATAGGTCAGCATTCTCTTTCTCTCATTCTCTCGGCTTTGGGTCTAAGACATGGTTTTCTCTTTGCAGGGGAACTGGTATAGAGGTTTGGGGTAATCTCAATGCCCCGAGAGCAATAACTCTGTCTGCTATCATCTACTGCTTGAGGTGTATGGTGGGACATGATGTACCACTTAATCAGGTAATTTAGTTTAATATTAAAAATATTAAAAGTTATTTCGGAGAATTATTGTCACTTCATCGATTATTAATTCAGATTGATTCCTTTTAACATTGCAAATAACACTTTTACATGTTATTTTGAGTTTTTTGTTATATTTAATTATGCACTTCTTGTATGTGTTTCTTTTTTTTTGTTCCATAGGGTTGCCTGGAAGAAATCGCTTGTTAGCGATAAGGCAGCTTGTTGCCTAATAACTTATGTATTTTGAAGTTATACTTCTTTAGGTGCGTTATGAAAAATTTATGAGAGTGAAATTTTACGATGCGCGCGCACCGTGACACAAAATTAACAGAATGAAGTTGCCCACGGAAGATGCTACGGCATTGGACATAATTTAAAAACGAATATTAATAGAATTTATGTTACACTTAATGTAAGAGAATAATAATAAATATTTATTTATTTAATTTTTCAAATGTAAACTGAACTTTATTGACTATAATGACTCCTTTTCCAGTCTTTGATTATTTAATTGTAATTAATTATTTGCATGCAATCAAAAACTATTTTTAATAATGCCAAAGAAGTATAACTTCTTTCGCGCGTACATAAGCACACACACCCTTTTTTTGTATGATTTTGTATAGTATGGTAACGAAGTGTAAATAAATAAATACTTAATTATATTTATAAGAAATAATTTGTTTAATGAAAGTAAAAAGGGACTTTATATTGAGTCGGTTAGTTATTATATAAATCTTTCTCAATAAATAAATAAATGTGAAGATTGGCTGAAATAAAATTTATGAAATATAAAATATGTATTTCGAACAGATGTATATAATGAATGTTAAAAATAAGATTTTACGATGTATTTGTTCTTTCAGGGTTGCCTGAATCCTGTGAAAGTGATAATTCCGGCAAACTCAATTCTCGACCCTTCGGAGGAAGCGGCTGTTGTGGGCGGAAATGTGCTGACGTCGCAACGGGTCGTCGATGTTGTGTTGAAGGCTTTTCAGGTTAGTATTTTAATAATTTAAAAAAATTAAATCGAATTTAAATACCCGTTAATATCATTTACTTATATTATACATGCCGAGAGTGGACCCGATACCTCAAAAAATACTGAACTGATTTGAATGAACTTTCGCGTGTTCTCTAATTTGGAATATATCTAATCTACTCGAATCTCACCTATCTACTACTACTAGCTTTTGGGAAAGTTGTGGACAAACATACATTTACATTTAAGAAGTTTAAATAGATCGCTCAACCTTAATTTTAAATAATAAAATTGTTATTTAAAATAAATAAATAATTGTCAGGTGTGTGCGGCATCTCAAGGCTGTATGAACAACTTGACAGTAGGGGAGAGTGATTGGGGCTATTACGAGACTGTGGCGGGGGGAAGTGGGGCGGTAAGTATCCAATCTATATTAGACAATATACAAAGCCAAAACAAATTACATTGATAAACAAAATATACGAAACAGAAAACAAGTGAATTAAGTACATTAATAGATTAAAATAGAAAACTGTAATTAAACTTTAAACAAACAACAACTTGATGTTTTAAAGAAAAAAGAAATTGTTACAACTCTCAAATAATGTCAATTCTTCCCGATTCTGTTCTGTGTGTGTTCTGTGTGTGTGTAGGAATCATCTGCATAATTCGCCGGGAATTATGCAGATGCTGTTCGTACAAGGCACAGTGAACAATTGAGTATCTTGTTGTATACGGGGGAGGGATTCTTAAATACATTAAAGCTAGCAAATAGCTTTACCTATTCGCCCATTTAGAATATCGTGCAAAAATAATAAATCTTGCAGACTTTGAAAGCATGAAAATGTTCGTATAATTAAAAAAAAACAGAAATACAAGTTCCCCCCCTTAATTGCAATAATTCAAGAAGAGAAAAGAAACTTTGAAGGCCAAGCCTTAGTCAATTAAAGTTATTTTAAATCTGTTGTAAGGTAGATATATTATTTCAGGGTCCATCCTGGCACGGGACGGGTGGTGTACATACACACATGACGAACACTCGAATCACGGACGTGGAAATTGTGGAGACGAGATATCCCATTCTGGTCACGGCGTTCTCCTTGAGACCCAATTCTGGGGGTTTGGGTAAGAGTCTGTGATTCATTAGGCTATTTCACAAGATTTTAAAAACCATTTCAGAATATTTATTAGTTACTGTATGACATATACAAATTGTTATTTCTAATTCTGTTAAGGCTTGAAAATTTCCTTAATTAATTTATGATTTTGAATCGATGAAAGCCGGCACGCACCGAAAAGCATGACTCACTGTCCCGTTACGCTCATTGTTCCATTACGCTCATTGTCCCATTACGCTCATTGTACGCTTGCGCCGCATCTTTCTTCCACTCGAAGACTTAAGTATGCAATCATTAAGACTCAAACGTCATACTCTTGCCGTAATAAGTACGAATTGCTCGCCTATTGACCAGACTACTCGTGTTTTTTCTTTTTGGCATAATTAAATTAAATGGATATGGCTGTGTATATTTAATTTTTATTTTATTATATTTATTTTATTAGTCGCCTACGCACTTGAACCCCACGGCCCAAGAGTATCTACTCCAAAGGGAATAAATTAATAAACAATTCGTGAATGTATACATATTTCAGGTGTGTTCTGTGGAGGTGATGGGGTGGTTAGAGAGCTAGTGTTCAGAAGGACTGTACAACTCTCTGCTCTCACCGAGAGAAGAGTTTTTCAACCATATGGGATTAATGGTATGTTTGTTTAATTGAATATTGATATGCATTATTTCGCCGGGTATTACTACCAAAATTAATTAAATAAAGAATTTTCCAGAACTTTGAGTGATTCAAAGCTAACTAAAACGTGGTTTTAGACTAGCCCAAGAGACACAACACAGAAAATGTCATAAAATTCTGTTTTTTAGGCAATTACAAAATATAGTTGTAAATAAATTAGGCAACCCGATTTCAGGCCTGGTCTCCAAGATCAAGGTATATTCTAGAGCAGTGTTTCCCAACGGTTTTTGCGCCAAGCCCCACCTTAATCTTTCTAAAATTCTTATGCCCCACTATGTAACATACATAATATTTAAATATTGAATTGTTCTTAACTTTAACTAAAGAGCGCCCTTCCCCGTCCGACGAACGTCAACGCGAGCATGGCCAAAAAGCTTGTTGTTTCATTCAGCGCAATGTCAGCAAGTGAGAACGCGATAACATTGAAAGAAAAATTGTGTGCGGAAATTTCATAAAACTTGTTCCATGAAATACGTGTTTTTTCTTAAGCCTTACAAAATTATGAAAAAAAAGTTTTACATTTAGAAACTCCATTACATTTACAAGGTTTCTATGCAAATATTTATTTCCGGTTACAATTAATGAGTACATTATAAACGCCCAAACTTCATATAAAATTTGTGCAAAAGGCAGAATTTTGGAGGTTTGTACTGAATTTGTTTCTTAAAATTTTGATTCCGCGTTTTAATAGAAACCAAGATATAGTGCACAAGATGCCTATTAGTTCAAAAGTTTCAAAGAAATATCTGTTACAACGCCATAATCACGTACGAGCGTTTGTATGAAAAGATAGACGGGTTGGCCGCTCTTAAAAACTTAGATGTGAACTTGAATGTGTTAAGCTGAAATTCGAATTCCAAATAATTTTAATAAATTTTGGAATAACCCTCTTAACAATAACATTGCCCCCGTGTGGGACGTGGTGTGTGTGTGTGACCTTTACTGGCTAGTTCCACATCTTTTCCATCCACGAACCCTTAGCTCGCAACAGTACGAATGGTAGAAAACCTCTAAAAACTTAATTGAAGGTGGTTCATCTGGAGCCGTGGGTCTGAACCTGCTGCAGAGAGCTGGCGGAAGACTTATTAATCTCGGAGGAAAGGCGTCCATAGAGGCTTATCCTGGGGTATGATATTTTAAAGTCCTTTTAAAAATTCTTATTTTTTTATTTTGAATTTTATTGGGCCTATTATATTACAATACTTTATTATTAGAACAAAGTTACCTTTTTTAAAACAAATGACCGAAAGGGGTCTGTATCGAAATGTATATTATTTCTTAGAATTACTAGAATATTATGGGAAAACTGGGAGGGAAGAGACTTAGATTATATTTGATTATTCAACGCTGAAGAGCTAGTGCGCTGTCGGCCTTTTAGTAAATTTTATGATTAACATATTTTAGGATAAATACATCATGCACTCTCCCGGTGGAGGTGGCTTCGGAAATGGCCTCAAACGGACAAACGAAGAAACTGTTCAGTCCCAACAAATGTTCCAGGAAAGAGGAAGCGTCTTCGAATACCGGAATGCGCAGGAGTCTACGTAGTGAGAACTAATAAATGGCGAATTCTCGTTAAAACAGATGCCTTAGCGCGAAAAATACGTAACATAGATAAGCTATTTATATATATATTTTGTATTGAACATATACAACGTCTCGACATCAGCCACTCGGGTCGGTCAGTTCTTTTGAGTTGGAGCTTCCTTCATTCCTCACAAAATCCTTCTTTCACAATGAGTAGTTAAAATAATTCCAAATAGTAAAATATCGCTTGCCCCGGGCAACATTATCGTAAAAGCAAAATCTATTTTTTTAGAAAAATTAAAGACGGTAATGCTATTATTACTAGGACGATATAAAGTACATTACATATACAAAATAAAATATGTTTATTATGGAATATAAGATACAGGTATCACTTTTTCCACGTCATAAGATTTGAATCGGTAGACATCCCTACTCATCGGCAAAGAAGACAGAGGGTGTAGGCCGAGAGCAAAAGCCGGCGTAAAAAACTCTTGGCTACTCTTTTAAAACAAATATATATATCAAATGAAAGCTATTTTTTCTTATGCGACAGTTGTTTATCTAATTATACTAAGGAGCAAAAGCGTTTGACGATTGTTTAACTGTTTAAATATAATTACGGACGACACATTAACCGCACATTACGACGGTAATGTAATAATTTATTACCACTCTTTTCGCGGAAATATTAGGACTTTGGTGAAACATATACATCATTACCATTCTTTATTTGTTTCTAGTGTCGCATTAACTTTTATAATTATTTGGTAGAATTACAACCTAAACTAAAATATCTTTATGGTTGTTGCGATCTATTTAAGAAAATGAAATTAGGTAAACGAGTATTACATATATTGTGTACAAAATAATTTATGTAGAATAAAGACATCCTCGAGTATTTTTATAATAAAATGCATTGCTAAAATTCTGGAAAAAAATACAGTTATGTACTATCACCCAAAGAAGTCAAAAACATTAAAACAGTTGAAATAGTGCTTTACGAATTTGTTCCCCGGGGCAAGCGATATGTATTTTGGCAAAATTAAATTTTGTCATATTTTTAGAATACAACTTATTTAGTTTTCAGTACATAATTGTCTTTGGTTTACGCAATTTCATATGAATATCATTTTACAGATTGTAAATATGAAGTGTGTTAGAAGGTTTTAGTAGAAAATATTCTGAGCTGTACGCTTCGTGGGCAAATTTTTGTTTTTCCACTTTCCTAATGTCAATCTAATCAAAGAAGCTTGTACAGTTCCTTGATCATCTGGGTGCTTTAAATAATAGAGGATTTTAGTTGGACTCTATATTAACCACTCGCGTACAACAATAGAAAATAAGCGAAATAATTAAACGTTAATTGCTATATAACGAATGAATGCAATGTAACAGTTAAAGAGAGTGCATACATCTGGCTATACTCTCGGGGCGTAACTTCGACGATTTAGGTTATCGTCACACTTATAGAACTATGAAAGCCTGAGTGAGCAAAATGTTGGCTCGTACATACATCCACAGGCAAAAGTGCATTTTATTGTGTCTTTTCATATAGATAGTGTAATAAAGGATTTTGCCATCTAGGCATAGCTATTGTAAGAAAGAGACAGTTGCATTTTCCAGTTTCTGGTAGGAATAAGTCATAGTTATTTCAAAGTCAAAATGGAATTGCTCATTTTAACGAGCGTGATAAAATATATAATATATAAGCACAATTTTATACATTTAGATATTGAGCAGCGTTCAATACTAGCACACAATGTTACCAAACGTACAAATAATTGTTAGTTTTGTTTTGAGATATAGATAAAGTTTTAATGTGAATTGTTATTTGATTATTAAAGTTCTATTAAATTTTATGATTGTTTTATTAATTGGGTTAAATAGCCACCCAATTTTGAGTTCTTAAACGCCTGTAGTGCCAAGTAATCTTTCACAGACGTCGGACGTGACGACCCGATCGCCCACTGGTGATATAACCTGTGTCATTTCATTACTTTGCCTTGAGACAAATGGTAATTACGTGAATACCAGATGTGGATGGTCACAAACCATCTTTGCTAGACCTTGTGCTGACCTCATATCCAGAGAACTACATAGTCTCCGTTGACCCTCCTTTGCATTCGTTGGATCATTGAGTGGTCCAGATTTGTTTATTTATAAGTTCTAAAACAACGTGTATAAAATTATACTAGAAAATGTGACATCAAAAATTTTACATACACATCAATTATAGAACATTAGCAAGCTAGAAAAGAAAAAAAATAAGCAACCACAAAAAAATAAATAAATAATGCAAACTTAAACTTCATTAATAGTTTGGTCACACAGCGGACGCGGCCGTTGGCGTCGCGCCGAGCGCGACGGCTCTGTGCCATGTCCTATAGTAATTAATACATTACAACTGCTTACGTCACGCCAGCGTCGCGTCGCCTTCCCGCCCCGTCCGCTGTTTGACCAAACCTTAAGAGCATGCTAGATAGTTACGGTAAGTTGGATTACTGTGCCTACTACGCGTCCTACATGGTCCCGCAGAAGAGTGGGAACGAATTCCTTATAACATCGTGGAAAGGATGCCCAGAAGGATATATGCTGTGATTTTGGCAAGAGGAGGTAGTACAAGGTAGGTTACATTTGTAATTTTATTTAATTGCCACTTATTGTATGGCCGTGTACATCGATTTTAAAGAATTCATCAATAATAATTAATTAAAAATTACCAGAATTCACTTCACGCGTATGAATTTACACAATTATAAGTATACAGCTACGTCAGACAATTAAATTTCATTTAATTTACTGAAATCGACTTTAGAATATAAATTTCCTTAGGTGTCCATTTGCCAAAGAGTACATTATTTTCATTTGTTTATGTTGACATAGGCAAATAACAATCAACAATATTTCTTTTTTCTTCGCTCGAAGTGTCAAACACAATTGTTAAATTGTTGACATTTTAGTCAATTGACATATGCACACAATTTACCAAAAAAGAAAGTCGTAATATATTTTGGTATTTATTAGAAAAACATAATATAATACTTAAACATTATTTTGAGATCTTGGTGAATAAAATTTGTGTTGTATCACATCCACTGTTAATCCTTTCGTCTCTGGCATGAAGAAATAGCAAAATATTGCAGTAATTAGACATACTCCAGCAAACATGCAAAATAATGTGCCCAATCCTAAAAATATATTTATTATTTTTTAAATATACATAATTAAGATAAAATAATTAGTTTACCAAATTGCACAGGCGTAAGCCAAATACATTTAAAAGTAAAAATATAATGGAATAACGAAAACATTTAATAATTGTTTTTATTGTAAATAAACATTGTAAATTCCAGAATGGTTTTTTGAACCAAAACTTACCCAGTGCAGCGACAAGAGGATTAAAAATAAATAAAACAAAGAAACATCCAAGGAAAGAATATTCGAATGAGACTATCGTAGCGAAATTCTTTATCTGAAATTAAAATATTAAATATAACAAAATTAGATTAAACTAAAGCAGCTCAGACACAATCACAGACAATGAAATATAACATTTATTTATTTAATTAATTAGCATTTGGCATTTGTTATTATATCTTTGACATAGGCGACATATTATATGAAGCTGTAGTTTAAGTTCACTTTTGTAGCTATGTCAAGCATAACCTTTCATGACTTATATGTCAAAAAGATGGCAAACCTAAATAAAAAAATCATTTACTTCCGAACCTTTCTCTACTTAAACTTATTCACTAGATAAAACAAAGCAAAATGAGGATTATTTTTAATAGTTATGATGAAACAACTCACGATAGCCAGATAAAAGGATGATGGGTTAAACTTTAAAGCTTACCTCTGGCAAAAATATCTCCGCACTCATGGTAAAAGGTATAGTCCCAGCACCCAGTGTGTAGGAGAAACAGAAGAGATATATGAAAACGGCTGTCATCCAATTGGGAGCCCAACTGAATTGGATTTGCGTACCAAGAGATGCTGCGAATATTGATGCCAATATCGACGAGTAAATCATCAGCGGCTAGAAATTAATGATCACAATTAAGTTTTAAATCTATTGTGGTCAGCCTCGCAGGCTGTTAAATTTTTGTATAGATACTATTTGTTTGTACTAACGTCGTTCAGAACCTCAAAAATTTACATAATGCTGGCACCATCCTAAGTATAAATAAAAAATAAAGTAAAAAATATGGAAATCTGTCAGAAATATAAACAACTTAATTTATCAAACTGCTTGATTTACAAGAAAGAAAAATCCCTTGAAATGTCTCTCGATATTGCAAACGGTTATTTCTGATAGGTAATAAATTGGCTTTTCTAGTCTTTCCTTGTGATGAGGAATAAATTATAAAAAGTAATAAGCCTCTTAAGCCTAATTCTGCGCCAGGTGATGATAACATTTCATTAAAAAAAACATTGCTACACCAAGTTCTTATATCTGCGATCTTAGTATTGACAAGAAGTATCTTCCCTGAATCAGGCAATGAAATGAAAACTACCGTCCCATTTCTCTTCCTCGAACCCTCGCTAAAATTACAGAAATACTTATCCTTGTAAACAATCAATTTAGGTTCTGACAATATATCTACAGACTACAGAAGATGCAACTGCTGAATCGTTGGTATCAACTAATAGTATAAAATTTGATGAAAGGCAAAGGTGTATTAGTGTTTTTCTTGATCTAGCTATGGCTAGGCCAGCTAGAAAAGCTTATGAGCTTTCGACACTGTTTCCAGGTCACTACAACTCGAAAATTCAGAATAACTAGGAATTTTATTGTATTTGTTGGAACATGTTGCGTGTTTATGTCTAGCACAAAACATGTAACCGATTTTGAAGATCTAACATTATTCAAGATTTTTTATATTTATTTAGATAAATAGAACTAAATAATATGGCGAATAAATTAATTGATGACTCACCCGCCTACCCAATCTGTCCACAAGATAAACAACAATCAGAGCTCCAAAAATTGTAACCGCTGCGAATAACACACTGCAAAGAGTAGCAGACATACTGGGAACCGCTGCACTGAATAAAGGTTCTGCATACACTTGAACCACTATTTGACCCTGGAATACTGCTGCGGTGTAGAGAATTAGGGATACAAAGAGAGCACGACGGGTAGAACGGGACTTCTCTGAAAAAGGGAATATAATGTTCGCTATGTCACTTGATGATGAATCTTAATCGAAGATCTTCGTTCATTATCAATTATGATTTTCAACTCGTTCCGGTATTCTTAAACTACCACAATACAAATGTAGAATTAAAGTTAATTATATGCGCGGTACCGCACGGCACCGGTAACGCACGTTCGGCTATGTACATCGAGATGGCGTATATGGCGAGAGAACAGTTATTAGATAGCCTAACGTTAGCCAACATAAAAAGTAAGTTAAAAAACTACTTTTATATACATTTGTCACGCTCCTACACAAGACTGCTGTTGTGGTTTGTATAAATGTACGGACGGATTTATACAAACCACAGCGGTTTTCTAACATAGCACGATTATATTCTTCTGTAAAATAAATCAATATTTTTTTATATAAAATATATGTATAATTAATTAATGATTCCGTTTAAATTTACAACTATGAGAATATATGTCGCTAACTTACTCAAAAATTGCCAGGTGCTAAGTTTTTCTCGCTGCTTGTTGGGATTGGGTTGCAATTTTTCTGTTTCAGGTGTAGAATCTACGAAATTATACGTTGCTTTAGTAATGTTATTATATAAATAAGCTAGTTCTATTCTTATTGACGGCGAGTACGGATATTCCAATTGTATATAGGTTAGGTGTATGTATTTCAATTAATCTATTCGTTCATCGTTAACCGTATATGCAAGATTACATAAAGTTTTAAACAGCCAACTAATAAAGTATCTTTTTTCTTTTCTCGATCTACTGCCCTGCCATTAAGTCCAGGGACTTTATTCCATCTCTTATATTTGACTAAAAAGATTTAGGAATAACATAAATTAAAATCATACTCATTCGTGTTACGCGTCTCGCGAGATAAACCCCGGCTACATTGGAAATATTGTTATTTACAATATTTATCTTTTAGGCGAGATCTTTCTTATTTACGAGAAATAAGTTGAGAAGTAGCTCTTACCGTCTAAGTCAGGGTTGAGAGCACGTTTGATGTTTTCAATTTCTTCTTGAACCTCCTTACTATCAACTGTTACACTTCTATAATATGCTATTACAACGGCGGCTTCCTGTAAAATTTGGGTGCTATAGGTGCAAAGTTTTTTGTTCGTAAAATAATTCAATGTAAAAATAATTAAATAAGAAAAAGTGTCTTTAAATCTTGTTTAATATATCTTTAATATTCTCAATCTGTAGTATAAATCAGACCTTTTCCAAACCATTTTTCATAAGATATAATGGTGATTCTCGCAAATAAAACATCATCAGAGTTCCCACAGTGCTGATGGTGAGACAGGTGTAGTTCATCGTGTGGTAGTCCAAGGTTCCGAGGAGATAGCTCACCATCGATCCCACAGGAAAGAGAACTAACGCTCCAGCGGTTAATGAACCTAAATTTTCGAATTTATACAATTATGTTTAGTCATCGTAACGTACTAGTTCTTAGTACTTTTATTGAATTAAAACAAGATAAGGTTGGCTAATCTTCTGTACGTATGAGAGCTTATCTTTTAACTTCAGATGAGCTTTTTGCTCATTTGCCATTTGAAATATAATATTTAACTTAATTCAAAAAATAATTATAATATAATATAACGATATTTGATTTGGTCTTATTTATCACAGTTGGTATAAATACGGACCAATAATAAACGGCGAAAGATTGACCCATTTGAGGTTTGCAGACGACCTGATTGTATTTGCCTCAACACGCGATGCATTGGAGAGGATGGTCACAGAACTTGACACGGAAAGCAGAATTGTAGGTCTTAGAATGAATGCCAAGAAAACCAAAGTAATTACAAATTTCAGAAAGGAAATAATAGTATATTAAACAAAACTAGTATGCAATATCTATGACCGATGCAACAACAAAAGAAATTGACACAAATTTAACCTTTTTAATACACTACCTTTAGTAACATATTTTGGATCTCAAACTTGGGCGCACACTATGGCAGATACAAAGCTACATGAGGGGTCAAAGATCGATAGAACTATGTATAATAGGGATAAGGAGAATAGATAAAATAAAGAATATATCATTAAGAAGATTAACTATGAATCACACAATGAAAATAAATTAACTTAGGTGACAATGGAAATGGGCGGAGCACATGGCAAAAGGAACAGAAAAGTGGAGCAACCAAGTATTCAACTGGTGCCCAAGGTACAATTAACGGAAAAAAAGAACACATTTTACAACATAGATTTTACAACATTGAAAAAAAGGGCACACAGATAGCTAGGAATGAATGCGATGATAGAAATATAAATGGATTTAAATGTTAAGTATCTGAAATAAAAGGCATTTATTTAGGTAATTATTTATTAGGTAATTATTGGGTTACCTCGAATGCTCTCCTGACTGAACTCTCCAATGAACACTGGTACTGCAAGGTACATGCAGGCTGACAAGCCAGTGATGAAGAAACCAATAAGGACCGTTACTACGTATTTAAATGAACATATTATTGCCCAACCAATCTGAAATGGTAATAATTGTAAAATTAATATAATATTTAATTAATTATTTTGTGAACAGCCATAATAAGGAACTTCTTTTTAATATAACTAATGTTATTAAGTTAGTTAGTTGTAGCCGTGTTAACAATAAAATGAACCGAGCTCTAGAATAAATAGAAGAAAACGTTTGCATTATTAACATCTTCCATTTATTCCAATATTAAGATAATGTAGGTAATACGCTTATACTTACTAGTACTACTTATCTTGTACTTACCACTTGACTCAATGATATTCCTATGAGAGTATATTTCCGCCCTAAGGTGTCAAAGACCTTTCCCGTTAAGGGAATTGTACAAAGAGCCCCGATGGGCGGTAAGCCTCCAAGTAGAGATATTTCTGTCTCTGTCATTACTCTGTTTAAAGTTGTATTTTCTGAAGCAAATACTTTGATCATAGACGATGGCCAACAGAAGACGATACCGGTGGAAAAACAGAGGAAACCCACTGAAAATTAATGTCATTTATTTTATTGTTGTTTGTATTAACACTGTTTTTTGTATCGGCTTGATTTCGTTGGTCCGCATATTATAGGAAAGCAACGCTTTTCGTATTTTTTGTATGTATGTCAATTTGTTTGTATCAAGTGTTTGTCCTAATTTTGTGGTCCAAATAAAAGAAATACTATTAACAAATATAAGTGCCGAGTTTTTGCGGAAAACTACTAGGTAAATCGTTTTTTTGTTAGTACCTAATACTCGTATGTGCTTGGTTACGTCTTCCTAGCTTCTTTATGTCTATTTTTATATATAAGTCTTCTGTTAGTATAAATATCCTAATATTACAATTAATTCGTTATTTCCGCTTTTAAAAACAATATTTAGAAAATCATCATCGTTCGTAAAATAACGAAGTAGGTATTTCCAGAAGGTTTAGTACGTAGATCGCGTAGAACGAACTTTCGTAAATTAATAATATTTAATTAGTTTATGGTTAATGATTTCTTAAAATAAAGTTGAATTTATTAAATTTGCCACATTCTTCGTCAAATAGTTCTTTTTTATGGTATTGTTTGAATGATCCACATCGTTACGATAATTAGAATGTGTCAGTAATTTTGTAAAGTTTCCAGCAATTAACCCGTACGCACTGCAATCAATCTATATGTTAATGCAATAACAGGAGTTATCTAAATAGATTAAAGAAAAACTGTTGGGCGTAAGTTGTGCCTGAAGTTATTAAATATAAAATCTTAGCTCATTGTTTTTTAGTTTGGACACCTTTTGAAAGCTTCAAAAATATTTCCTATGGTTTTATTCCTTACCAATAACACACGACGAGACCTGATTAATCACCCCCATTTTTTTTTCCAACACTACGACTACCCACTACTCATTAAAACGACTGAATGAAAAACAAAAGAAAATTTTGTATTTCGGTGTGAGGTAAGCTTAAATTTTATATTCATTGAGATTATAAGATTATGCTTTGTTTGTTTAGTTTAAAATATAAAACTACGTCACGTAATAATATAAGTGTTAGCTTACTATGACGTATGGAATGTAACATACAATAATGTAAGATTTATTTATTTTTTGACAAAAATACATACATTATCATTACAGTACTAAGCCAATATGATAATATTGAAAAAAAAATATATACAATATCATAATATACACAATATCGCTACTGTGAACTCACTCTGCGAACATATAAAGATGTCGATAGTGTCGGAGACAGCATTCAATGCAACGTCTTTGTTAACGGGGATCTGTGCAACAGACTAGTTCTGGCCCTTGGTATCGCAAACAACTTTAGCATTCGCCTTCTGTGCCTGACACAAGCCGTCGAGTTCTATTTGTATTGTGTTTTTAATGTTTTCCTTCATCGTACAAGCAATGTGCTCATAGAAAGAAAGTCCATCAGAGACCAAGCCGGAGTTCGAACCTACAACCTCTGAGAGTCGCACTCACACTTATATCATACAAAAAAGTTTCTTGTTTACACTTGCTATATAAAAAAAGTTTTATATCAGAACTTTAAATTGAAAAAAATGTACATATTCTTATTTTTGTTTCTTTACTTTAGCAAATAAATTTAACACGATTTTCATATAAGAGATTCAGCATATATTGGATTAGGAAGCGTTTACAAAAGTATACACAAACATCAGCGTGGGAAGGAAGTTTTGCGTACAATGGCCAATATGAAAAATTGGTTCACAGACGGGATTTGAACGCTAGACTACCCTAAGTACTCTTTTATACGATTATATAGTAAATATAACTACTGGAAAGAAATCCTGTGGAACAACCTCCATACCTGTTCACACCTGGAACTTTTCAACGAAATGCTACGAGCTACTACTAAAGCGAGAGCCGCGAGGAACTGCCTGTAAATTTTCAAAGAATATTGTCGAATAAGTGGCGCCTGTTTCATATGTATCCCGCACCACTATCAAATATTAGAGGCTTTAAAATATCCCTAAGCTAGGGGATCTCTTGTAAACACAAATATAAATGAAAAAAATTGTGCGTGTATTAGTGTACACACGTAAGAAGTGAAACTTCTTTATGACCTTATTTTTCGAAAAATGATCTACTATGTGCAACTTTACACAAATTGGTTAAATAAAGTTTAACAAAAGTTTTTGTTTCTCATAGAAATGAATTCAAATAATGCAATTATTACATTTTACCTTATTACTACTAAGATTATTACAGAATTTCATTATTTGCATTTACTTGAAGTAATCCGACTAATTTCAAGGTTTTCTCGCGAGATTTGCCGCCCATATTTTATTGAAAGTTTTGAAATGGAATGGCCATTTCAAAACTTTCAATAAAATATCGGATTCAACCTGCGATCGATCAAACAATTTGTAGTTGGTATTTAAAAAAAGCAAAATGGCGCGTAACCGAGAAACGTGACGATTTTTTACATAAATTTCTCCCATACGTCGATAAATAAGTTTCACTTCAAAAAGTACAGGTATTTTACTCAAATCGAAACAATATTAAGAAAAGTTAGATGGCGTGGATTCTTGATAAATATGAGTACAAGTTAGTGATATTAAAAAAATTTAGAGAGATCGGTATCTAAAATAATTTTATCGACTTATCGAGTTAGCTTTCTCCACACTCAACGATCAAATCACATCAAAGAAGAAGCTCGTTACGCGCAAATTGAAAAAGATGTGATCGCAATTTAATTCCCTCAAATGTGGTTGACTAAAACGATGCCTGGCTCACACGTCATGCTGGTGAACAGATGCCGCATCCGGAAACTGGACTGCGAGGTTTCCGTTTAGTTTTGTAATTTCATACAAATAAAGAGCGGACCGTATCTCTCTGCTGGTTTCTTATATGTTTGCCATAGTCATTTTGTATGATGATTTGATATTTTGAAAGAGTACACCCTTCTTTGCCGATGAGTAGGGTTGTCTACCGATTCAAATTTAATGACGTGGAATAAGTGATACCTGTATCTTATGTTCCATAATAAACATATTTTATTTTAATAGTTATATATCTTCGGTAGGTGACTATTAAGACCGACCATAAGCCTTACGAATTAAAATGGTCCATTCTAGAGGGCCTAATTTAACCCGCTATTAAGATAGCTAGAGCAATTTCAAGCGCGGTATACAAACAATAATAAAATAAAACTAATTCAAACAATCCTAAATAACTTTATTGTATGAACATAAGGAAGTGTATTGTTTACATATGGTTTAGGACGTTTTTAAGACGTGTGTACTTTTTTATACATCTGATAAAAATTGCAAACAATTTACGTCATTTATTCGTAATACATCCTCTGTAATGATAACTCACGATTGCAATTACGATTCGATTACATCGAAATTACATACGAAAGACTATATCGGTATTGCTTCTGCTATTTTTTTGCTCCAAGTGGTCGATTGGAATGCGCTTGCTAGCGTGTGGTCACTTTGGTTCTCTGCGTGGAGTACTTATAAAAAGTAAGATTATCATTGAAAAGTACGCCTCTTACGTACGGAGCAAGTATTACGTAACGAATTTTTGGGGAAAGGAAAAGGACCCCCCTTTTGTAAAACGTTACTATGCGGGGCGGGGATTGAATTACGCGTTATTGTTAATATTATTTTCGACTTTCCAGTACTTTACACCACATAATGGTAACTTTTAGGTATAAAGAGTCACTATACTTGGGTACAGAAAAACGTTACGGCGCGTTACATGGGGGGGGTCAAGAATCTCCAAAAATTGCGTGACATTATACTTGAACAGTAAAATTTATTATCCATCAATTGCTGCAGTAGTCGTTAAATTTCCTGCATTTTTTTTCAAAATCTCCATCATTTTCGGCTCAATAGGACCCTGTCAGGAATGATCTCCTGCAGCAGCTAAAGCTTCCCGGTTCTCGTAAGCCCAGAATCCGTGAAGTTCCAGCAGTATGGACACGGCCGTGTGCCCCTGACCACTTCTAACTAAATCTTGCAGAGTTATTTTGGATGGATCCTCTGGTCTGATCATGTCAAAGATTTCGTCTTTCACGTCATCGAAATTTACAGGATCTGCGCCGTGGGCTATCATTTGCTCTTGAATCGCCTGGAAATAGACAAAAAGAAGGTGATTTAAACTCATCAATATTATTTTTAGAGTGAGACCTTTGGTTACCAAAATATATTGTGTTTAACCTTAACCAAAAAGTAATTGATAAGTTCAAATAAAAAAAAAATCAGTGGCGCTACCGCCTTGTTAGGTCTGTGCCTCATATTTCTGTATATGTTTAATGATCGAATAGGCAAGTAGGTGATCAGCTTCCTGTCAACTTTTTGGGTCTGAAGAAAGATGGTTTTCTTACGATGTTTTCCAACACCATTCATTGGTGCACAGCCGGGGATCGAACCTACGACCTCAGGGATAAGAGTAGCTACTCTTATTGATATTTAAATTGGTAAACAAAAAGAAAATAAAAAGATTTGTAGTTCAAAAATAAGATTTCTTTACATAAATTATATTAAAACCTACCTTAAAGAAATAATTCAAGGTAAACGCATCAAGAAATCCTTGAGAATTGATGTCTAGTACTCTAAACAGGTATGCTAGGGCTGCCGGCTGGCGTCTGTTCTCCAGAGCTAGGACTAGATCTAGATAAGTCTTGTAGTCAATCTCCCCATCGTAGGTTAGGCATTGCTGGAAAACTCTTTGGAGGAACGCTCGAGTCAAGGTTCCTGAACCATAGCTGAAACAATTTCTTTCTTTATACTTCGTTGCATACAGAAATATAATATAATACAATTGACATAACTAAATAAAAAACATTGTAAGTAATACTATGTGCCTATTTTAGTATAGTAGTTTTATTCTAGGAGTAATGTACTCGTCGTCACATATAATTATTTCACTGATGTATACAAAATTTTGTAAACCTATTTTAAAAGAGTAAGTGTGAAGTTTCTTGCCCATTCTTCTCCACACGAAACTACCTCTTGGCAACTAGAATCATCTTTATATTTTATTTGACGTTCAAAAGTGCCATTTTAGGTGGTCTAATTGAAATAAATGATTTGACTTGACTAAATGAAAAGGAGGGCAACTGGCGGCCTTATCGCTTTCGCGCGATCTCTTCCGGGCAACCGTGTGAAGAAATAATTAAATAACACTCAAAATAACTTCATTAATGATGTTAAATTAATTATAAATTTACATTTACTACCAGTTCAGGGGCGTAGAGCGGGCAAGAAGAACAGGCAAGAAACTATCTGCCACTCTTTGTAATCCCCAATATTTAGATAAGGTAAGCAAGAAGTGCAAAATACATAAGACATATAGTTATTTATACAAAACTAATGTAACAAAACATAGCAATTAAAACATGTAAACAGTGATCAGGACAATATTTAAAAAAAATTGTATTTAAGGTAATTTTGTTATATCAAAATTAGGGACTGCTAAATACAGCAACAATATTTAATCTATATTCCTATAAGGAAAGGTTTTTGTATGTTTGTACCAAACTTAAAAACTACTGACACAATTTAAAAAAAATCATTAATATTTCTGAGTAACAGGCTATATTGAGTAACAGTAAGTTATAATTATAGAATTAAATCAAGTGGCCAATAAATTAATGCAGTTTGTATTTTTTTATATACAAAATCTCTATTATAATTACATAGTAATAATAAAAATAATTAAAAATTGATAAATAGAAAATTAACAAATTTAAAAAGTATGGTCCCTGTGGCAGTGTACCTTTAATAATGGCATTTACACGCTTTATTGAGATACTTATTCGTTGAGCGAGGAAAGCACCAGCTCTGGGGTCTCCGGTACTATTTAACAACAAACTTAAATCTATAATTAGGGTCTGTGCACTTGAACCCCACAGCCCAAGAGTTTCTACTCCAAAGGGAGATTGCTAGCTAGATCTCTATAATTGCTTAAGTCTTGTATTATTAATTTATGTCACTATACTCCATACACTATACTCCTAATTAATTTTTAACTTAAGGTAAGCTCCCACACAAAACTGCTATGCAATGCGATGCGAATTCGCATCGCAGGAATTTGCGATGCGAATTTCTGCGATACGATTTAGTGCGGCAAACCATTTGGTAGGGCGACCATTCCTTAGTACTAAGCCGTACTGGACGTGTTTTTAGGAAGCATAAGATGGATTGCAAAAAGATTATTGCACTGCTGTTATTGTTAAATAGATATAAAAGAAAAAGAAGATTCTGGGTTCATCCATTTATTACGATTATGAACTCTGATGCAAACTTTCACAGGCGCTCTTCCACGCATCTTGCTTAATAAATTTATTTTTATAATGTTCATCACTTGTGTCCCAAAGTACGGGATGCTCCTCAATTAAAAATATTAAAAAATCCATATCATATTCCGCAATTTTTTATAAACAAAGAAGGCGGCGGAGGCGCCGCGGGTAACAGTGTTGAATACCACTGCACTTTTTTGACGATACTAATTATTTAGGAGTCTCGGGGGACCTTCTTCCTCTCGGGGAGTTTTGCTGCGGAAACGCGTCTAAAACATTCACGTGAAATAAAAAAGAAACGGATTTCTAAAGGAAATTTTGCACTGTAAAACTGTTACACACTAGTCTAGCAAAATCCACATTTAAAATGGCCGTTTACGTTTATAAAATTAATAGGGATGTGAAAAATATTCGATTTCTTTCAAAGTGAAAATCGATTTTTGTATTCGATTTTAATATTAAAAATAATTGAAAATCAATCATAGTTGATCAGTTTCAGTTGAACAGTTATTTTAAAAAGAAATATTAATATACTAACCTAACCTAACCGATCTAAATAATAATTGGTTTTTGGACAGCTCCGGCGCTACGGGAAATGCAGCCCCTCCACCCTTGCGTACCAAAGCACAGGCATTTTATTCAAGCCTCCGCAACCTCGGCTTTTGACCAGCCTTAGCCGCTACAGCTTTCATAAAGCCTGTGCTTTGTTACAGCGGGTAGGGGCTGCTCTTCCTCCGCGCCTCCGATTATTTATATACACTCTAGGGGTAAGGCAGACAAGACCACGTGGATAGTGGGGTGCTCTGATTCGGTTTTGGGTACTTTTTGGATATTAAAGTAAACACTTTATTCTAGTAAAAATTAAATAATACAGAAAGTTGCAAACATTGAAATACAAGTACTAATTAGGAAATACAGACCGCAGTTACCGCAGCAAAACTCACTTGGAGGTCCCCCGAGACTCCTAAATAATTAGTATCGTCAAAAAAGTGCGGTGGTATTCAACACCCAACCCGCGCCGCGCGTCTTTCTCTAAAGCTGTCTCAGAGCGGACTAAAATCATAAAATGGCGTCACCAAGGATGACGTAATATCGCAAGAATGTGCGATGCGAAGCAGATCGGAAATTCTTGCGGTGCGTTCGTGCGAATTCGCAGATATTTCCGATGCGATGCGAATTCGCAGTTTTGTGTGGGAGCCCTAATACGGTGCATTCAAAGGTAAGATAAAATAAACTTACCCAGCTAGTTCATTAATACTCAACATCCCATTATGATCTCTGTCCAGATTAAGATATTGTCCATACACACGGAGAGCTGATGCTGCACTGAACCAGTTTTGTTCCTGGAGCTCCATTGGTAGGTCTTCTTCTCTTAACTAAAATATTATATAAACAGAATTGTGTTATCATCTCCATGCCTTAGTGGTTAAAGCTTGTGGTGTATAAGACCAAAGTTCAGGACTTGATTGTAGTAAAACAATGATGAACAAATCTTGTGATTGAAAGAATAGTTATTTTTGGCTAAGCCTAATAATAGTATTACAAGCCCAGCTACATGAATGTAGACCTGCTCCAAAAACCTACAAAATGTATTTGTATTACATTAATGTAATAATAAAACTAAATTACTTTAACTCACCTCTAGTAAATCATCAAGAAAAGAGCAAGAAAGCACATCTCGTATCCTTACTCTTCCAACTCGCAGTGGGTCCAAAAAGAAGAGAAACTTTCTTGCCGCTGTGCATACATAGAATGATGTGAATGATGAGTCTAGACCATCTAGGGCTGCTAGAGATGGGACTAACTCAGCTATATAGCTCTCTAGGTCCTGGGAATGTGGAGAAAGTTATAATGTATTTATATAGAAATGTGTATAATAGTAACAAGAAAACTAAATAAAACTAGGGCATTTTTGCTTTAATTTTGTCAGATGTTTTTTTTTAGTTGTATTAAAACCCATGGTCATAAAGAAAATCAAAAAAATTACACACCCTTTTCAGACAGTTCACTAAAACTAAAATAATGAACATTATAAACTAAAATATTACTAACTAGTTAACTTTCATACAATATATATAATAATAATTATAATAATATAAGAAAACTAACATGTTCAGTGAGATATCCCTGTCCAGTGACATCATACAAAGATAGTCCTATTCTAGTCTGCTGTAACCAAACACGTCTCATGACATAGTTGAACAGGGACACACCTCTAACCCGTCCTATACCACCTTCTGCTGCTTGAAGACGGCCAAATATCTCAGCGGTGAAGTAGGGCCTGGGAATGTATGATTGTTTGATGAACAATTTTTTTATGAAATGTTTTGTTTATTTTATATATGTCAACAGTGAAATTTAAATACTCATAACTTTCCAAATTTTTTTTTCAATAACAGAAATAAACAAAACAATCAGTAATATTTTAATACTTTTCTAAATTACTGAATTTCAAATATTCAATATTTACCTCTAATTCTTGTGACCCTATTTTTGTAATGAGAAAACATTTAAAAATAATTAATAGAGCAATGTACCTATATTTAGGCCCTGCTTCATCCCTTATTTTCCTATACTGTAAATAATCAATAGTCAGCTCATCACTGTTTGACATACTGTAACTCCCATTTGATTTCTCAAGCAAACTCCATAAATGTTTCAATTCCCCATTGTCAAGTAACTCTTTACTTTTCTTTTGAAGAAACTGAGCTCGGGTCTCCTCTCTTAACTTCTGTGATAGCATATCATCAGATCGAGGAAGTTTAAAGTAAAATTTTGGAACTTTTTTATAAGTTTCTTCAATACCATCAAATTTTGGTTTATATAGTTGTTTGAAAGTCTCGACTTCAATTTTGTCACTCTCTTCATTGGTTATGCTTGTTCCTGACTCTATAAGAATAGGTATATTTTACAAATGAATTGAGAAAGTACGAAATTTTACTTCAGCGGTATTAAATTTGGCTTACTGTCTAACTTCTTAATGTATTTTCTTAAACGATCCTTAAGTTTATTGTTAATTTCGTCCTCGTCAACAACAGGCGGTAAATTCGACGTGCAGCTCTTTTGTGTCTCAACACTCTTGTTTTCCTTTTTTATTTCTGACATATTTTTTTGATAGTATTAATATTGAATGTTTTTATAAATGAACACAAGTACCGAAATTCAAACTTTTGAGAAATATTAAAATCTTTGAGTATTAAGCCAGAAAGGAGTCGCCTTTACGCGCGTCCCCCTCTGTCAAAGTACGAACCCGCTGGACATACGCGTTATATAAAACTGTTTCTCGACCCTTCCGCGCCATTCCGGTATGACGCTTGTTAGTGTAAAGAGCTCCGACAAAAATGACTGGATGCAGTGTATTCGGCTGTAAAAAAAGGTCTGACACATCGAGTGTACAAAAAGACAACGTGACATTTCATCTGTAAGTATTTTCTTAAGTAATATTATCGTATATTATAAGAATACGTGAAAATCAAATAAATATTCATTGCCGAGTAATGCCGAGTCAATGTTGCCAGTTTATTGCTAAGTTCCGCACTACGACGTTTTTTGTGGCTTAATTTTTTTATTTGCATAATTTTTTTACTAACAGATGGTACTTACATAGCGATCATATTGTTCAATGACTTAAGTAAATATGCTTTACTATTGATTAGTTGTCCTGTTCGTGGATTCGCTCACAAGTACTTTGAAGGTTTACCCGACACTTCAAATTTTCTTATTATACTAATGTCTTTAATTAATGAAGAAAGGACGTGAAAAATTATAAAAATTTATCACATGAATTTATCCTAATAATGGTTATTTTCCTAAGTTGGTAGTTAGCCACACCAACGCCGGTTTACGTCATTTTAGAGAGGGGGGATTTTTTTATCGATAAATTATTGAATGAATGAACAATATAATGTAATTATGGATACAGCAAACTTTACTTGTATAGATTTCCAAAAGACCCTATCCGTCGACAACAATGGATAAAAGCTTGTGAAAATCACAGAACATGACTACCCAAACGTACAAGTAAAGTTTGCTCCGATCATTTTGATACGTCATGTTTCTTGTTGCTGGCTAACAACAAAAGAAAATTAAAGGAATCAGCAACACCTACATTGAAATTACCAAATGTAAGTTATATCTAGTTTCGATGCAAACATGTAGGGATCTGTAATAACGTATTATGTATTCCATATAGTTTTGAACATCCACTGGAGTAACTAAAAAACGATTAATTGCTTTTCCAACACCAATGTATACCTATTCTTTAGTCACATAGATACAAAGCTCAACTTACGCCTCAAGGACTGTAGTAATGTTATTTTATATGTTATTTTGTAGGCTGACCTCGACAAACCAACCGATTGCCAACCAGCGAAAAAAATGAGATTTGAGACTGAAACCTCGGCTAGTTCACCACCCCACTCATCTACTTTTCGCTCTGAGTTATCAACAAATCATGTTTCACCTACTACAAGTACTAATGTTTCTTGTTATAAATTGGACCAAGTAACACCAAGAAAACGTAAATTAAGAAGAATAATAGTTCAAAAAAACAAACAAATTAAAAGACTTCAGTCGAAAACACGATATTTAAAAAAGAAAGTTGCTAGTTTAAAAGAAATACTTGATGAGTTAACCAAAAATGAATAAATTTTATCGACATTCCTTATCACCATGTGTAGCTCTAATTATCTCGGGATTGTTGCGTATGTGTGCTGTACATGTAACGTGTAAAGATACGATTTCTTTAAATGTGTGCGTTGCGATTACTCTTGTGTAAGCAAATTAGGTTTGTGTGCGTGTGTACAAACATTGTGCAATTTGTTTCTGTAGTAAAGTTTTGTCTGTGTGAGTGCCTCGTCCCCCGCCGATGTTTTGGCAGAAAAATTAATTAGCATCGTTCGAGTGATGGCGTCTCCTTTCTGGCTTAATACTCAAAGATTAAAATTTAAAACAACCCACAATGTTTATGTTGACATAATCGAATATTGAATCACAGATATCTATTATCTAATATTTACTCATTACTCGTCTACACTCTAATCGGTCATCCTCATCGAAGTAATTATATTCTCTTTGATCTACGACATACGACTATAATAATAATAATAATAATAAAGCCTTTAATCAGATAGAAAATAATAACATAATTTTTAACTTAACACTAGTGAGTCGGTGACACCGACAACCCACGACTATGGTACACATTAAATAACTATGGGGATATTTGGCGGGAATTTGAAAAAGCGCGGTTCCATTTTTTTTCATTAGAATAAATATAATTTCTTTATAAATAACAGTATAAATAATAAAAATGGAAGGAAACAAGTGGGGTCGGGCCTGATCTGCCCACCTAAAAAAAAAAGACTACGCCCGCGTGGCTGCTTGAAGATCTCCAGCATACTTATATTATGCCATCAGCCATATTATCACAAGCCCAATTACAAATGATTATACCCAGAAACTTCTATTAATTTAGAAATTAAGGTTTTATTTGATAGTAAAAAACATTCAAGTCAGAATGGAAAATAAATATGTATATCCAATTTATTTGAATCATATTATATATATTTTCGAATTTTAAAGGTATGGTGGCAATAAGGCGCATTTAAAATTGTTGTAATATTTAAACAACACAATACGTATAGCATATTATTAATAAACAATATCACCTATGCTGAGCGTTTTTCAAGGCAGTTTTTGCCGCGCACCACCACTATGTGGAACCAGCTGCCCACTGAAGTATTTCCGAACCAATTCGACTTAGGGTCCTTCAAGAAAAGAGCGTACCAATTCCTAAAAGGACGGCAACGCACTCGCGAGCCTTCTGGCATTGAGAGTGTCCATGTGCGGCGGTATCACTTAACATCAGGTGAGCTTCCTGCCCGTTTGCCCCCCGTTCTATAAAAAAAAATATCCTGAAAATCATAAATTATTGTGTTGTTTGACGGTTATTTTATGTATAGAAATTATTAAATCCTAACTCGTCTTTAAAACAAAATACACTTAAATATTTAGTTAAATAAAATAAAAACTTATTTTTATTGCATTTTATTTAAACGGTTAACTTTGAGTTTAATGTCTAAGAAGAATCTTTTAGCAAACATTTTAACAGATTTATCAAGGAAACAGCACAACCTTCGGTTTATCATTGTATAATTTAACGGACAGAATAACTCTGTTAGTGCAATTCGGGATGTAACGTCATAGTACTGGTTGAAGGAGCAGATTGTGGATGTTGCTATATTATAAGCATATTTAGCGCTAAACAGGCGGATAATGAAGGAAAACACAACACTGATAATTACTGATAGTAAATAGTAATTTTAATTATACTAATATGTACTATTTCTCAGTTGTCAAAACAACCTGCAGCTGAGTTTCATCATCGGACGTCGAGGCAGAATACGAAATTCCACCCGTATCACCTCGACGTCCGACGTTCCACAACTGAGCGTTTCTCAAGGCAGTTTTTGCCGCGCACCACCACTATGTGGAACCAGCTGCCCACTGAAGTATTCCCGAACCAATTCGACTTAGGGTCCTTCAAGAAAAGAGCGTACCAATTTTTAAAAGGCCGGCAACGCACTCGCGAGCCCTCTGGCATTGAGAGTGTCCATGGGCGGCGGTATCACTTAACATCAGGTGAGCCTCCTGCCCGTTTGCCCCCCGTTCTATAAAAAAAAAAAAAAAACCACGTCTGTTTGTGGTCTGTGCACGTTATTGTCATTTGTCATTGATTGACAAGCCATTGCTTCCTAACCAATAACTATAACATAAATTCACCATTTTTTATGTTAAAACTTGAGTAATTTCGTTTTTAAAATACTACACTATAATGGTTTCTTTTCTTTATATACCATGTTAATTTTTAATAAATATGAACTATAAGATATCCTCTCTTGCGAAGAACTTTAATGATTACATGACAATTACTGTCGTTAGACTTTAAAGAGTGATAGGTTGTATGTTGAATTGTTGATTAAATTAGTAAACAATAATGTTAGGTGTGGCGTGCTAGCCATGTGACATAGTGTGCGTTATTGCGTTGCTGTAAGCGGCCTTGAGCAGTGTAATCCGGTTAGCGTTTACTGGTTTAGGCTTATTATCCATTTCACTGTAGTTAAAGAATATCTGAGCAGTGAGCAGTTTTACCATCTCTATATCGGTGTGGAAGCTGCAAACACTCGCGTGTCTTTGCCTTAGTCGTTTAACAGTACTTGCCAGTTGCTACTCATCATGGAGATCGGCGACGAGTACAGAAATGGAGACGGTAAGCATATATATTATTACATCTGCTATTACTCATCAGAGGAAATTATACTTATAAAGTTTATAACAACATAAATTGATAAAGTAGTATATTGTATTAATAAATAAAAACCCACTGATAAGAGATAATGACTTTCATGTACATATATTAAATTTTAAAGACCTTGAAATAGATTACTTAAATGCTAGTTGAAGGTTAGTATATGTGAATACCTAAAGTGTTGTTTCTTTTTACTTTGACCATGATATACTTAAATTATTGAACAATAAATACTTGGAACATTATATTTTCTATATGAGCACCCTTTTCGGTAATAAGATAATATACTTGTTATTAGTGAATCTGAGTGAGTTTTTTAGTGAAATGCTAAATATTCAATGAATTTTCCTAATGTTTGAAGTAGAATTCTTCAAACAACATAACAATATTCCTTCTTAGAATAACTGCAATGCTGAGAACTGGTTGTTATGCTAGACACATTTTGCTTGTCAGTGCAAAACTAAATTAATTTGTTTATGTACATTATTAGTATTTTTACTTTACTTTAAAGAATGCTTAGAAATTTAGATGATGATTTTAAAATATGCTATGCCTTATCCGTGATAGGCACCCTGTTATAATGCAAAGATTCATAGAGCTTGGGACGGAGTTGCTCCTCTTCTTACTTAGAAATGTATACATGATCTGTCACAGGGCGCAGTGGCGCGTCGGGAGCGTCCCGGTCCGACGACAGCGCAGACGAAGAGGAGAGTGCGCTCGAGGCCGAGCTGTCGTTGGAGGAACCCGATGCCGCCGCGCGCACTCTGCACGCCCTCAACGCGTTACGCAAAGCGCGTCAGCACTACGACGTGACGCTTCTGGCGCGCGGTGTCGAGCTTCCCGCGCACCGGGCTCTGCTGGCCGCACTTTCGCCCGCAATGCTCGCTTCACTGCCGGCCGCCGCCACCGCGACGCCGCTGCGACTCGACGTCGACCCGGACGCGCTGCACGCGCTGCTCGACTACGCCTACACGGGTCGTCTAAGAGTGAAAGACGCGACCGCTGCGCGTCGCCTCTACCGGGCCGCGGCGCTTCTGCGCGTCGAGTCGGCCCGCGCTCATCTGGCCGATCGTTTGCTCCGCCGCATCACGCCTCAGGATTGCCTGACGCTTCGCTCCCTTCCGGATCTGGCTCCGCCTCACAGGCGACAGCTGGACGCGTACGTCGCGCAGCACTTCGACGAGGTGTGGGGCTCGAGCGCGTTGGCGGCCCTTCCCCTCGTCCGCTTGGAGCTCTTGCGCGAGACGAGCGCCGACTCCTGTGGCGAGAGGGCCGCCACGCTGGCTAGTGCCGCGTTAGCGTGGCTTCGCGCGTCTCCGTCGGAGCCAGCCGAGCTGGCCGCGCGGTCCCACCTACTGTACGTGGACGCGGGTGGCGCGCTGCAGGACTGCGGCGATCTACCGGCGGCGCGCGGGGATGCCCCGGATCTCGAGGAGTACAAAAGAGAGCGCGCGAGCGGGACCGCGAGGCACCGCGGCCGGCGGCGGGTGCGGAGGACGAGGGCGCCGTGGTAGCGGCGAAGACGGCCGAGGGGGGTGCGCGAGCCGTGCTGATTCTGCGAGGAGCGCTCGTGGCTGCGCAGGTGGCGTGGCGAGGCGTCAGCGCCTCGGACACGCCCCGCGGGGGCCGCCTAGCCGCGCCCGCCGTCGATGACGACTCCGCCGATCTTCCGACCGAGGTTTGTGTCTTCATTATTTATCCTCGACGGACGGACTTCGGTCGACCGCAACCCCGCACGTCCAAGAGGACGCTTGCACGCAAACATGAAAATTTTTCTTCGATTCTCAGGAGGGCCCGACGCGCGCCCGCATGTCTGTCGGGCGTTGCGCGGTGGGCGCCGCCGAGCTGGGAGGCAGACTCGTGGTGTGCGGCGGCTACGACAGCGCGCGAGTGCTACGAAGCGCCGAGGCCTACGACCCCGAGGCCGACGTCTGGGCGCCGTTACCGGACATGCGCCGCGCGAGGGCGCGTTTTCCCGCCGCACGCCTCGGCGCCCGCCTCTACGTGCTCGGCGGCTCCGATGGTTACTCGGAGCTCGACTCGGTCGACGTGCTGTCGGACGGCGCGTGGGTCGGCGTCGCCGCGCTGCCGGTGGCCCGACAGTACGCGGCGGCGGCGGCGCACGAAGCGCGCGGCGAATTGTACGTGGTCGGCGGGTCGGCAGGGGGCCGCTCGCTACGCGCCGTGCATCGTTACGACGCCGCCGCGGACGCCTGGAGCGACGCTCCGCCGCTCGCGACCGGCCGCTCGCAATGCGCCGCAGCGGTGTGGGCCGGGGCGCTCTGGGCGCTCGGCGGGTGCGACGAGTGGCGCTGCCTCGCGTCCACCGAGACCCTTGCGCTCGACGGGGCCGAAGCGGGTGCGTGGAGCGCGGGGCCGGCGCTGCCTTCAGCGCGGCGCAGCGTCGGAGCATGCGTGTGGCGCGGGGCACTGTGGGCGGCGGGCGGTTCGGCGGGGGCGGCCTCGTTGCGTTGCACGGTCCTGCTGGCGGCTCGGGGCGCCACCTGGCGGCCGGGCCCCTCGCTTCGGCGGCCTCGGGCGGCGCCCGCGCTGGTGCCGGTGGGCGCGTCGCTATTCGCGGCGGGCGGATACTCGGGCAAGCGGTTTCTGTCTTGCGTCGAGTGCCTCCACGAGCCGGACGGAGTTTGGACGACGCTCCTCGAGTCCGTCGAGGTGACGCCGGACGCGACGCGTCTCTCTCTGACTCCGTCGGGGCGGGAGACCGAAGAGGCCGTCTGACGCCTCCGTCCTTTTCGACGGCGTCTAGTTTTCTACTGTCGTAGCTTTTAAGGTCGATCGGGTTTCGGTGATATATATTTATTAATGAAAGATAGAGTGAAAGAGCGGAGTGAAACCCTTTTTTTACCCAATTTGAGACTATTCAGTCACCCGATGACTGAGCACTGGACGATCTCCGGAAACTTTACGTTCCATTTTGAAAGGCTTTTCTTTCGTCATAATATTTTAAAATATTAATTTTGCATTTAGCATTGACCGTGGAAGGAAGTTTGCATTTGTAGAAATGCTCGAAGGTGACGAGGAACTGATGTCTCCTCGGATTTGTTTCAAAAGACATTACTTGTATTTTAGGTTAATTATTATAATTTTTCTTCCATTGGGAATGTTTCCTATTGTTTGTTTTTACTTAGTACGTAATAAAGTTATTCTATTCTTTATACTAGTTTATTTTGTATTACTAGTTGTGTCGTAAATAAATTGAATTTGTATAATACTCCTGAAGTACTAACTGATACTCACCACCTCGATTTGAGTCAACTAATATACCACACGGGTCACAAATCGTAGTTTCTTATTAATGTTCAACGAGAAAAACATAAAATACAAGTCCGACAAGGTTATATTGACATGTGCTGATCTAACCTTCGTATTTGAATAATCTTTGTAAAGCCCATGAATAATAAATATAATTAAATTATAATATATTTATTATTTAAGTTAATATTTAATAATTTCAGTGATATATGCCAAAGAAGTTTTACTTCAATCGCGCGTAAAGGTTAATACACACACGCACACACATTTTTATTTTTTATAATTTTTTTTGTATTATTTTTTTATGATACAGCATACGAAAATACATTCGACCCCTACTTTTTATTATTGTAGATAGTTACTTTAATTGAACTAAAAAAATTGTTTCCTAGACATAATAAACATGGCAAAACAAACGTTTGCCGGGTCAGCTAGTAGTTTTATAAAAAATTAGTTTAAAAAATCTGAAAAAAAATCGGTTGTCTGTAAAGTCGGTTTACTGACGATAGTTGAACGTGACAACGTCATAAGAAAATATTGATGGAATGGTTGCATTTTTCAAAAGATCAAGTTACATATTTTATTTGTACGCATAAATACAATTATGTCAATTTTTTCACGAACGAACCCTGCCAAACATGGAGGCCGATTGTGCCTCTTTGTCGCTCGTTCCGCGCTCTCGCTTGCACTTCAAGCCTTAAATGGAACGCCTCAGAGCGAGGTAACGCTGCATGCGTCAAGAGCGAGGTAACGCCGCATGCGTCATGTTTTTTCGTGCGTGCAGCCGGCTCCATCGAATTATAAGACGTTGTCACGTCAAAACATTCGCGATGACCAACAGCGAAAAACTATATCTATCTAGGACAAAGCATTGCTTAAATAGCCTAGATACATAAAAGTAAGTTTAAGTTATCTACAGCTTTCCAGTCAGTCAGTGGACTGTGAAAAGTGTGGTTAAATGTAGTGTATCTTCAGCTATTAAAGTATAGAATAACCACGAGAGCCGTGTCAGCTGTCAATGTACAAATGAAATCTAAACTACTAAGTGAATTATTTGTCACTAGACTTCACTGGGACAAAAAGATAAGAAACCTAAGGTCTGAGGTGTCTGCCGCCTCAACTTAGTAGGTAGTTATATTGCGGTACGTGCGATAGACTGAACTAGAGTCAAAAATTTCTCCGTTACCAAGCCAAATTATTTACGCAACTGGCATAAATATTGTTGGTTTTTGTTCTCAAGCCACGCACATTTTGATATACTTTATAGAGTAAATCTTAGTGACTGATGCGATTTATCTTAACCAAAGTTTGACGCCTTTAAGGATAGACGTTTCTGACCCCTTGTGAAATTGAAGCCTGATTCTCTGCACTTTATTCTGGTAGCACTTGAAGACATAAATGTTCGGAGACTTCTTTAGGTGCAGTCCCTACAATACTTAACTGCGGAAACAACACAGACACGTAGTATCGAGATGAATCAAGGCAGAAACTTATTAGGTCCTTACACCGCTCTAACTCCGAACTGTAACTACGAGTACGACGCATCGCCATATGGTAATGAGAGACAACCCGACGCATGGAATCAAAGAATTTTGATTTAATATAAACCCAAAAAAAATCAAAATATATTTATTTTGTATAAAACGGAGACAATGCTGTCAGTCGGCAGACAGCAGCGCCTGTTCGGACAAGAGCAGCTTGGCCAGCGTGTGTCGCGCACCCAAGTGCAAACGTCCGAGGCCGCGCGATCGTTCGCGACGCAGACACGTCGCGGAGTCGGCGAGGGCGCAGGGCGGGCCCGCGGCGGCACGCACTAGAGCCGGCTCCGGAGCTCGGATGCAGCGCAGTGAAGACGCCGCTAACAGCTGCGCCGGCCCCGCCGACGGGTCGCCGCCGTGCGCCATCCACGCCTCGCGGGCATCCGAGAAGTCGCCGCGGGACACGGCCAGCGATAGCGGTGCCCGCTCGAACCGGCCCGTGTTGACCGTCGGTCGCGTGCCGTCCGCTTCTCGCCAGCGCGGGTGAGCGTAGTGGGCGAAGCGCGCGAACCCGCTCGGCATGTACCACTGCTCGCCCGCGATCGTGTTCATGCGCGCCCGGTTCAGGAAGTCCTCCGAGAACTCTGCGTCGCTGGGAATCAAAAGCAATAGGGCATCGCGGGGGAAGCGAGGCGCCGCCGCCTCGAGGGCGAGCCGCGCCGCGACCTCGCGCCACTCCGGCTCCCCGACGCCGGCTGACTCGCCATCTGGCGGCGGACTCTCGAACAGTTGCACGCGCGCGTCCCTGCGACGTTCGACGAGCGTGCGGATGGCTTCGCGCAGAGCCGCCAGGTCGTCTGCCGAGGCCCCGACGGCGACGAGCGCGAGTGCCGTGTTCGAGTCGCGATCGAGCGAAGCCTCGTAACGGCGGAGAAGCCCGACCGCTTCGGCGGCAAGTTTCGGCGGCGCCGCGGCCGGTGCTACGATCGTGACCCTCGCGGTCTCGGTGACGTAGCGGGCGGGAGCGAGTCGCGCGGCGCCCAGCGGTCGGACGGCCTCGAGCTGGCGGACCGCTCGCCGGTCCTGCGCTGCGAGCCGGACGATTAGGCGATAACGCAGAGCGTGCGGCGGGTCCCAGCACCAGGCGCCCTCGTCTAGCTCGGCGTCGGCGTCCCAGTGTCGTCGGGCCCAAGCCAAGCCCTCCCGGACCACGAGCCTCACGGCCTCGAGCGTCGCGCCACCGAGCGCCGCCACGGCGCGCTCGTCGTCCGGCATGAACGCGTGCGTCGCGTTGAACCGCGTCCAACGTAAATGGTCGAACCTGCAACGGACCGATTTTAGAACTCATTAAAATGAAAAAGGCTCGGGCAAATATTATAATAGTCGTGACCGAACCTGGTGGGCGGCGGCGGCGAAGCGAGCCCGGCGTCGGCCCGCAGAGCCGGCGGCCAGGTCGCGTTGCGGAAGCCGCGCGGATGACGACGGAAGCTTGCGGCCGCGAGCGTCCTTTCGTCTCCTACGCGGTCGTGTGCGCGTTGCAATCGAACTCGCGACACCAAGGCGTGCAGGCGATGAAAGTGCCCGGGGTCGGTGACGGGGTGCACGGTGACGGCGTCGGGCAGCGAGTCGGAGACTGCATCGGCGGTGGCAAGGATAGCCGCCGAGTAGTTCGCGGCGTGCAAGGCCGCAGCGCAAGGTGTGTGTGAGGCGTGCAGCACGCAGCGGCCGATGTTCTCGTGGTGGTGGGGTGAATACGAGTTGCGTACGCACCAGTCCAGCTCGCCGTGCACTGCGCGTAGCACCGAGTTCGACAGCAGGATGCCCCCCCTCTGCAATATAAATTCCAAATGATTGCAGCTTTTAAATGTTTGGCGAAGCCTTTTAAAAGGCACTTTAATATCTCAGAACTTTTAAAACAAAAAAACTTTGCTATTAAAGACTGGTAGAGTTTTTCTTGGCCGGTTTACACCTTTGATTAAAGAACTGATAGTAAATAATATTTAGTATCTGTTTGAGCTGTTGTTTATTAAGAACTGACTAATGAATCAAATTTTTGTTATGTAACAATATTATATTTTGAAATTGTCACTAATCCAATCTTCAGACGAGTGTGTGTCGGAGAAATCGACTAAATGGTACATAACTGACCCAAACATGATCTTTTACTGTAACTTTATGATGTACGATACCTAAATTGTCTGGACTACATCCAAGAGAATATAGCCCAAAGTAGGCACTCCCTTAAGCAAAATAATATACTCTATTATTTAAAACATCCTGTTGACCCTTGGGTCTACGGTTCTTGAACCGTACCAATAATTTATTTATTTTTACTTATTTATAATAATAAAAAAAAAATATTCCCATCATAGCAAAATATTAATTTAACAAAGCTTATATAAATATAACATTTTCATTGCATATATATATAATAACTCACCTAGAGTGCAATAATGAGTATCATCTTCGGCCACAGCTCCCATGTACACATCTTGACTGACACTTAACTTAGAGACAAGTTCATTCAATTGACGGGCGTTAATGTATGAGGTGTCAGTCACAAGGAAAAAGAAGTTGTAGTCCTCCAAGTAGTTGTCTGCCAGATACTTGAGAGCGTGGAAGGGCTTCAACATCTCCCGAGTATCCGTGAAGCCGACAACGTTAGCACGCCCCGGTTTTAACTGAAGGGAACTGGCTGTGATAAAGAAGCGAAGGGCTGGTAACAGGCCCGCTGCTGTCTCATTGATGGCAGCCGCGCGCGTGTCAAGCGCCTCCTCGGAACTGAGCACGCCCGCCAGCAACGGTGCACGCATACCCAGCTCGGTGGAGTAGTAACGCGGCCTCTGTAGCACACGCGCAGGAGGCGCACCTGCTCCTAGGGGTCGTTGTTCGCGTTGCGGCTCCCATTCGTCGCCCGCCCCGACAGCTGACTCTACTGGCTCTGTTCGAACACATTCAGACTCCTCTTCCAGTGGCACCAACACCAGCGACACCCATAAACCTAACGCTAACCCCACCAGGAAGAATGAGTTGTGTTTCACTTGCGACACCACGTAGCGTGATAACATCGTCGACGATGCAATCTCACTCAGAATGTGAAGCTTATCAACAATTACTTGCAGATAACTTTTTAACAATCTAACTTCAATACATTATTGATAAAGCTAAAATGTAGAATAGCAATACACTATAGTCGTATTTTTAATTACACGAAGCCAACTGACAGTAGCTAATGTCACTTTGTAAAATAATGTTGCCATAATATTTAAAGTAATAGTGATACGTTCAGTTCTTGTTCAATCAGATGAATGAACAATGAGTGTGAATAGTTAATCATTTCAAACTATAAAAGAATATTATTTATATTTCAAAATTGTATAAAAGTGCTCTGATATAAGTTAGGTACTAGTACTATGTATAACTACAACCAGTTTTTTGACGGCTTATTAAAAGCGCGGCGACTAGTGCCATCACCGATCATTAATTCAGGGGTCTTTACCATCATTCACTTTGTCACAACACTATTTTTATTTCATTAAAAACTGACAACACCGTAAACGTCAGTTGACTTCGTCTAATTAAAAATACGACTATAGTCACTACACAATTATTGTCTAAACTCTGAAATCTCAATTATACAACTAAAATCTAAATAAAATGTACTCTATCATCTATGCTAATGTACCCAATATATTCTATAGTCGCATTTTTAATTAGACGAAGTCAACTGACGTTTACGGTGTTATCAGTTTTTATTTTTTAATGAAATAAAAATAGTGTTGTGACAAAGTGAATGATTGAAAAATTCCTGAATTAATGTTCGTTGATGGCACAGGGCACTAATCAACACGCCGCGATTTGTAATAAGCCGTCAAAAAACTGATTGTAGTTATACATACTACTAGACAAACACTATACTATTAAAGTGGATTACTTGTAATCATTAGGTAAAATGTGGACCATCATGTACAGGGTGGCCAAAAAGTCGTGGGTCAAACGCAAATAGGGGGGTAGATGAGGTCATCAGCGGCAAAAAATTGTTCCACGGGAGGTCTCTAAGGTCAACCCCTGCAGAGTTATGATTTATTTTGGTTTTTATATGAAAATTGACTTTTTTTAACTAAGTATTATTAAAATTCGAAAATATCTACATCCTGTACCTTTCTCATAATATCCACTAGATTGGTACTGATCAGTTCTTGCGTTAGACATACATAACAACAACTACAAATAGTGTAGTTAAGAAGAATTAGTAAAAAAAGTCAATTTTCATATAAAAACCAAAATAAATCATAACTCTGCAGGGGTTGACCTTAGAGACCTCCCGTAGAACAATTTTTTGCCGCTGATGACCTCATCTATCCCCTATTTGCGTTTGATCCACGACTTTTTGGACCATCATGTATATTTCAGGCGGAAAAGCAATCTTACTGATCTACTTATGAACTGAATTAGAAGTTCTAAATATTATATTAATGTAATTAAATAAATTAGAAGCCAATGATGACTCTTTTATGTTTATCAAATCAAATGGGCTTCATGAATTTTGGAAATACAAAATCAAGTGAATAATACTTACGTATGGTAAGCAGACATTTTATTTATTTATTATTAAATTAATACGGAGAAATTTATTACAATATTGTTATTTAATCAGAAGTTTTAATATAAACAACCCACTTAAAGTGACAAATCTTTATTCTTTTTAAAATTAGCAAAAATATATGCAATACATACTATTATGTATTGCATATATTTACTACCTACTCTATAATCGGCTACTTTTCATTATACATATATAATGAAAAGTAGCCGATTATCGAGTAGGTGGCCCTACCACTTAATCTGTTTATTTAATAAAAAAATAGTCTGGCCTCGGCCTTAAGTCAAATTTTGAAATTTTCTCTCTTTTTTATTGTTGAATGAATTTTTTTATTTACTAACAGCAAAGAAATCTTATTTGTTTTCGCTTGTCATATCTTAATATGGCCGGGACGGCACCTTTTGAATTTTTTTTATAGTAAGACGTATGTTATTTAACCATACTGTGAGAGATGTGAGAAAATAGTTATGACACTATTCCCCAGTCACTCCGGAGTCCCAGTGTCGTAAGTGACTATACTACAGCATAAGAAAAGATATCTCATTCAAATACAGTGTACACTCTATATAACGACAGTCAATGGACTGCATATTTGACGTTACAAAGAGTTGTCGTTGGTTGGTCGAATGGAATAAGAAAAACCTATATTAGAAAAAGATAAAGTTTATTTCACACACAGACACTAGTCTAAACATAAAAAACTATTCTTATTTGACCGCTATTGCGTAAAGTCTGTTATGTTCACGTGACGTCTTTTGCTGCACCAGTAGTTATGCTGTGTTTTTTTTACTTATTATATTAAAATCATGCGATATTGAGGCATCTTCGTGATAAAGGAAGTAATCCCAATTTGTAAACAAAAGAACGCGGTCTACCGCAAAACGGTTGATCGTATGAAAAAAAGTTCAAAAATTGTAGTAAATTTTATACTCTACAACTATTATAAAGAAGCAAATCTTATCTAAGAAATAGAAAGCGATATATTCACGAAAAACCGATTTTTAGACCTTCAATATCTTAAGACGCGGACACGATAGAACTTGTGGCTTTTGAGACAACATTTAGAACGAACACAAAGGTTTATACCAATTTACAGCTTATTCTCTTTAATTCCGAGGTTGACCCCTTGTTTTACCTAATATGGGCTGATCGTCGACTGCAGACTTGGTGGGCCGAAAATTAAAAGGTGTCGTTTCATTGCAGTAAGAGAATTATGGAATGAAGCGTCTCTGCGCACACACTTGAGCCCAAAGACACTTTTAATGAAGATGAACCGTATATCATTACTTCGTGCTTTTTCTGACGCCGGTATTGAGGTACTAGAAGTGGTATTGAATGATAGCGATCTGTTTCTAATAAGCAATAAATTTTAGATTTTTATCGTTTATTAAAACCTAAACCTAATCAAATATACAGTATTTACAAATTTTTAACCTACATAGTAATAATAAAAATTAACACAAATTTAAAAAGTTTGATCCATGGCAGTGTACCTTTAACGCTGGCATTGCGAAACTTATTCATTGAGCGAGGAAAGCACCAGCTCTGGGGTCACCGGTACTATCACCAGGCGACAATTTAAATATTTAATTAGCGCCTGTGCACTTGAACCTCACGGCCCAAGTCTTTTGTCCAAAGGGAACAAAAAGTTGGAAGAAAGACTTATATTTGAGTCGTTTTTTAATTTCGAATATAATCTTATTTACAAAGATTTCATTTTATGAACCAGGTTACCTTTGCACATTTAATTCGTTTTTTTTATATACAGAACATGTATATATATAAGAAACATAAATTAAATATGTATATCCTTATTGTTTAATTAGGCATACAAGCGATAAAATAACGTACTTTATAAACAAAGCATCAGATTGTTCATATTTTTAATGAATCTTGATCTTCCACAGAAAAAAGATTTATATGAAAATATAACCAATTGTTTAAATATAATTATTGAAAAAAAGTCTTCAAGGCCTAAACTAACTAAAATAATTACGAAATTTTATATGTATAGATATAAATAGATAGAACTATTTGGCATGAAAATGTAATTTCTCTATTTCCTGGTGATGTCTACATAGCCATAACACTTCACCCGGAACATCTTTAACAATAATTAAAAAAACATTTAAAAATTTGTCTGTTAAATTTTTTATTTAATCCAATTACGAAACGATAACTGCCAAAAAGTAGACACACACACACGTGGGCCCCTGTTTTTGACTTCACATTAAATATTACGCCGTGTGTATGACTAGCGGCCTGTTCCATAGTAAATATTTTGGAAACCAATTTTTAATTCGGTCCCGCAGTTTTTTGGTTTTTTCGTTGTCAAGATACAAATGGTTCTTCGATATAATATTAATAAAGATGATTTATACGAATTGCTTTTTAAATTTGCTTTTTAACCAATCGCTTACAACAATGCCGGAATTTCGCAAAAACTAATTAATTAAATGTTATTGTTATTGCTATGTAACGAATGAATGCAATGTAACATTTGAAGAGAGTGTCTACGTCTGGCAATACTCTCGGGGCGTAAGGGCTCATGCCCACGAGACGGTTTCAACACGGCCCGGTTTTTGGCCGGCGCCGGATAGAAACCGTCCGAGCTTGCACACAAGACGGTTTGTACACGACCCGGTTTCATCGAGGTGCCGCTTTCATACGCTCTTTTCATTCAATGAATTGTGGACGTATAAAATGTTGAGTGTTAAAAAGAGGAAATGTATTATTGCGTGGTACATGTATAAAAAGCTAAAAAAAGACGAGAAAAAATACATAGACGACATTGGGTACCTCCCATGTTAACAGAAAGAGAAGATCATGGTGCATTTCATACGCTCATTCAGAAGCAACTATGACGAGAAATTTGAGAAGTACTTTCGAACTAAAACAGAAACATTATAAAAATTTTACATATTTTGGAACCCAAACTTAAACATGAAGATACAAATATGCGCAGTAGTATATCTCCAATTAATAATTCCTGGTCGACTTCAATAATTATATAATATAATATTGCGTTGTGCGTACTACGTAGGTAGTCGGCACGCGCCGGGTGTAGGCCCGGTCTCGTGTGCATGCGCTCATACACTGCCATACTCCACTGCGCACCGGGCGTAGACGCAGCGAGCACCGTGCCCGGTTGCGCGGAAAGCCGGCGCTAGCGCCGGCGTCGTGTGCATGGCGTCATAGTGTCCCATATAAGACTGTCGACCGGACATAGACCCGGTTTTTCGCCCGGAGCTAGGCCCGGCGAAAAACCGGGTCGTGGGCATGAGCCGTCACTCTCACGATTTAGTTAATTGCTATGAAACGAATACAAGCAATTTTACACTTGAAGAGAGTGCCTACGTCTGGCTATACTCTCGGGGCGTAACTCTCACGATTTAGTTAATTGCTATGAAACGAATACAAGCAATTTTACACTTGAAGAGAGTGCCTACGTCTGGATATACTCTCGGGGCGTAACTCTCACGATTTAAGGCTCCCACACAAAACTGCGAATTCGCATCGCATCGCAAATATCTGCGAATTCGCACGAACGCATCGCAAGAATTTCCGATCTGCTTCGCATCGCACATTTCTGCGATATTACGTCATCCTTGGTGACGCCATTTTAGTCCGCTCTGAGACAGCTTTAGAAAAAGACGCGCGGTGCCTGCGCCGCCTTCGTCTTGAAGGCATGGTGATAATAAACTCAAAAGCTCTTCAAATGAAGATAATATGCTCATTCTAAAATAATCAAAAAATGTATCTTCTTCAGTTCTCAACGCATAGTACTTTTGAATAAAATAATTCCCATCAGAGTTCATAATCGTAATGAATGGATGAACCCAGAATCTTCTTTTTCTATCTATTTAACAATAACAGCAGTGCAATAATCTTTTTGCGATCCATCTTACGCTTAAAAACACGTACAGTACGGCTGACTTCGAAGGAATGGTCACCCTACCAAATGGTTTGACGAAATCGCATCGCATCGCATCGCAGTTTTGTGTGGGAGCCCTTAGTTAATTGCTATGAAACGAATACAAGCAATTTTACACTTGAAGAGAGTGCCTACGTCTGGCTATACTCTCGGGGCGTAACTCTCACGATTTAGTTAATTGCTATGAAACGAATACAAGCAATTTTACACTTGAAGAGAGTGCCTACGTCTGGCTATACCCACGGGGCTTAACTTCGACGATTTTGGCAATCGCCACGCTAAAACTATAAAAGCCTGAGTGAACAAAATGTACAGCCTTAGCTCGTACAGTGGTTGTACCATCATTTAAATTTTATTAAAAGTATAACTCTCAATATTGATAGTAGTCACTGTGAGAAGGACGACATTATGATAAATACCTGATCCTATAAACATTAGTTTTTACAACTACTTACATGTTAATTAGGTACTTTAGTCTTTAATTAAGCCATTTTTTTAATCAAGGTGACTAAACCAGATAGGCATAACTATAGGTATTCACGTAATAAACTTACGTCTTATTTTATTTTTTTAAAGGATGTAAAAGTGGAAAAAAGTCCGATAAGCTAATAGAATATATTGGCATATAATCGTCTAGAATGTGTTGCTGTGAACACAATTATTACCTATGTGTGTAAAATTGAAAGATATTATTAATTTTATGGTTTAAATTAAAAGTTTTGTATGATTGTTATCGAGTTTGACTATTATATTGGTTGAAAACTAAAGGGAACCGTTCATTTTAAATAAATAAAAGTAAGTATAGGTACTACAAATTTAGTTTTATGTAATCAGAGACAAACGGCTCACCTGATGAAATGGTATGAATAAATATAAGACATCTTGATAAAAGCCATATTATAAATGAAAAGGGTAAAACGCAGTCACTTTAAAATTATTCGTAGCGATAATGCAACATGCAAATTATGTCTTGAATCTTCGACGTCAGTTGTTTTCCTCAAGCGACGAATTCAGTCAGATGCAATATATCGATGAGGATAATAAGACTATAACTGCGACGTGTTGATTTTAAATACGATATGAAGCAGATTGAATAACAATGGGAGTTCTATTTACAAAAAATACGCACAAAATAATACTAGCAATTTATAAGATTCTATCCCGTTGTAAAATATAAGAGGAATATATAATAACTAGCTGACCTGACAAACGTCGTTTTGCCATGTATATCATTTATAATAAAAAATAGGGGTTGTATGTATTTTTAATGCTGTATCATAAAAAAATATTTTTTTATGTAAAATTTTTAAAAAATAATAATTTAGGGGTGGACTACCCTTAACATTTAGGGGGATGAAAAATAGATGTTGTCATCGGACAGACCCAATATGCACACAAATCATGAGAATCGGTCGAGCCGTTTCGGAGGAGTTTAACCACAAACAACGCGACACGAGAATTTTATAAATTAGATAATATCTAATAATAGATTTTAATTCAGATACATTTAAACATGTTTCTATTTCTTTTAGTGTATCTGTGTATATAAGCAGAATTTAATTTACCTTTCATAATTGTATCTTTAATCTCAAATCTACATTTAAATCAAACCATTTAATTTTCAGTAATACTAATGGACTCCCTAGTAATTTGCTTCCCATTAACTACTTTCCCTTCGACTAGCCGAGCCGTCTGGCAATGTGAGTGTCCATGGGCACTTGACATCAGGTGAGCCTACTGGCTACTGCCCGTTTGCCTTGTATTACATTAAAAAAAAAATTAAGGGCGGCGACACGTTTCACAACATGATTACGATTAAAGGGTAACCACGCGTGTTCAAGGGACAGACTTAAGAAAACTAATAAACTGCCACTGCGCAGAGAACAGCAGAAAGAGTCGCACGTATCTTGCCGCTTGCGATCGTTGGCTCGATACTATACGGTTACCAATTTATATGATTCGTGACGGTCTTAATATTATTAACAAAAAAAATTTAAATATATCGGATTAGTTTTTTTTTAAAGTAATCCAGTTAAATTAAGTAATAAATATAATCTACGTACCTCGGAGTGAGCAGTGAGTCGAAATGAGAACTTTAAAGGGCTGGAGCGGAGCGGCGGCGTTATCGGCTTTTCATCAGGCGCTCGTCGTAATTCTAAGTAAGTACTTACAAAAAACAGAGATTTTATTATCATATACTATTTATATTATCGTCAAAATGTTACTCGTACAACACCAAACATTTAATTTAGATATGTACTTAGGTAATTAATTATTTCTTTATGCTAATACTAGTTTAGGTATATTAAATATTTCATTGTTACACGTATTTCTTTTATTTTTATACGAAACAAATATTTTCGGTGAATGCACATATAACCTTGTAGATATGTTAAAAATAATTAATTTTAATTAAATAGGAAATTAATACTATGCTTCGAAATTATTTTATAATACTCCGCTAACCGAGATCGATTTGCATTTAATAACGGGTTTTAGTTAACTTCGTATAAAAAGAAACAATATAAAAAGTACAATTCTGACAAACGCAGACTTCGGAGAAGTTTACGCTCAGGCCAAAAAATGTAAAACAGAACCGTCGTGTAATAAATCCGAACCTTAGAAATGTAGGAACCTGGTTAAAATAACATAGCAACATTAGTAGAAAGATGTGAGGTTGTCAATGCGTGTACCCCGCACTCATGTCCCATTACCTCCTGTAATCGCATTCCTAACTTGTAGTTACGAATTAAAGAAGTACTAGTTATCTAGGTAATCTACAAACCGTGCACAGAGCACGGTCAAGGTGGGAGATGTGGAAATGATCCCGCAAACATTACTCCATTCGTTCGAGTTTAATGTTACGCCGGTGTCAATATTGAACATCGTGTGGAGGTCGATGTCGAATTCAAATTGTAGTATGGCAAATTATCAGTAATTTTCATTTTATTTTTCTTATTTATTTTCCTTATTTCCTATTTTCACAGTAACTTAATACTAATAACATAACATAAACATAACCATTAAAACTAAACTAAAAACATAACATAAACATAACCATTAAAACTAAACTAAAAACATAACATAAACATAACCATTAAAAACTTAAAACCTAAACCATTTTATAACTAATTATAAATAATGCAATTCTCGTGAATTCAGCCAGTGTGCAAAAAAATATATCCGTCTCACAAGCAATAGCATTTAGGGTGCGCAAAACACTTTTAAAACATCCGTGGCACAAAGAAGTTTTGCGCTTAAATTATTAGAAATCAACTAAAATAATTTTTGCCATATTTTATCATATTACATTTATTACCAGTATTTCACATCTCCTAAAGCTTGTTTAGCTAAATAAAAAATCCCTATAATTTTCAGTCAACATACCTTCGGTATCGTTTGGCCTGGCGCTGGGCTGGGTGTCTCTGGTGAGCGGCGAAGCGGCTGATGAAGGCGACAAGGGCGCTGTCTTCGCGGCCGTCACTACGTTTTTGGCGTGCTTTGTGGCCGTACCGATTAGCGCCAAGGTCATCACATACGGCAGAAAGTATGCTGTCATGGCCGCCTCTGCATGTTTCGTGGTCTGTGCTATGTTTAAAAAAATGCTTCTTTCATTTTTGTAAATTTAATTTACAAATATTAAATCTGGTGGCCGTAGTTGTTTTCCGTCTATTTGGACGAACGATATTTAAGATTAGACAGTTTCCGCAGATTTATATTTATATTTTAATTTTTTAATTTCTGAAATTGCTTAGCGGTAACAATAAATTATTATTCAATATTCAGAAGTGCACGCTACTGACATCTTTTTCATTATTGTGTTTTGAAAAAGATAATCAAAAACAATAGTAATGTTGTTAAGACTCTTCTCTGTCGGTAGTTGTGTTGGTCGCTAAAGCTGGTTTCGGTGTCAGCGAGTGATGGGTGGATGATAGGTGGACGGCTGGCGGCAGGGTTCGGCGGCACCGCCGCGTGGACACTGGCTCCGTTGCTGGCTAGAGAGGTGAGATTTTGTTAGTGATTTAGATGCGTAATAGCGATAGAAGATAGTCCGTAGAAAATAATTAATGGGATGTGAATGCAGATGTGTAGCGAGGGATGGTGTGGAGCAGCAGTATCAGCACTGCCGCTGGCACACAACGCAGGCATCCTGCTTATGTATCTCGCCGCCGATGCTAGGATGCATCATAGGTATATCAAAACATCGTCACGATATTCCTTCATTTGGTGTGTTATATTGTTATGTTCATACATTTTTCAATGTCATTTACAGAACTGTGATATGGTGGTGCCTCGGGGTATCGGCTTTTCATTTCTTCGTGTTCATGTTCATACCGGAGTCGCCCTCGTTTCTTGCCGCTAAAGGAAAGAATGAAGTATGTTTCCTTTTTTTTTTGAAGTGAAACTTCTTTAGGCGCATGAGGGTAAAATTTTACGGAACGTCACGAAGATGTGCAGCGTTTTTGTCGAAGAAAAGGGAGAGAGCGATTGAGACCGATTGTGAGAGAGTGAGAAGGGTGAATTTATGAAATATTAGTATTTTATATTTTATGCAAAATAATTTATTGTAAATTGAAATGCCACCTGTTTTAATTATCGAAAAAATAAATTTAAAAAATTTAATTTATTACTTGTATTCATTTTAGACACTTTTAATATTTTTCCCTGCCTCTAAGTCTCGAAAATTTTTAGATTTGTATAAATATGAACAAGACTTAAAAATTAGTTTGCTAAAGAAGTTTCTTCTGACATATGTACTTTGTACGCACACGCTTTTTTATTTTATGTAATTAATATATTGTAATTAAGGTTGTAAATAATTTAAATAGTATTTCGTGTACTTTTCATATTAATATAAGTTTTATATAAATGCTCCATGTGACGTCATTAATTAAATTGTAATTATAAAATTTACACGAATAAAAGCAATCGTGTCGCCTGTAACATCAATGGCCTTGGTGATATGTCACATCGTGGAAACAATCACGCAAACACACGCAAGTAGCAACAAAGCGAATCAAGAGCCGCCCTTAATTACACTTGAAATAATAGTATATGTACAGGAAGCCCGGAGATCTCTGGCCTGGCTACGAGGTCGATCGACTGATTCGCCGAAACTCGATGCCGAGTTTAAGACGTTACCACCCGCCGAGCAAGGAGATGAGTCGTCTCTCTCGCGAGCCCTGGATTTGTGTACGTGCCTACTATTGAGAAGATCAATTTATTTCACTTGAAAATATTTTTACATCTATATAAAACTGTCGCAGTTCGCGACCGTCAGAGGCGATGGGCGTTCGCCGTCGGGTTCGTGGCGGTCGTGGGACAAGAGATGTGCGGAATACTCGCCATCACTCAGTACGCCGAGCGGCTGTTCATGTTGACGCGGGACCGAGCCGCCGCGGTCACGATTGCTGCGGCACCCGAGGGTCCACTGCTGCTGGCGACGCCCGCCCGGCACGCCCTCATCCTCGGCGCCGTGCAGCTCTTAGCGTCCGCCCTTTCTCTCTATCTCGTGGAGCGGCTCGGCCGCAGGGTGAGTGTCATTTGCGATATATGACATTTCTTCGGTGCGGCGAGTGGTCTCATTTATTCGTATTCGTTTATTTCGCAGCCGCTTATCGTAGGGTGCGCGTGGGCAGTGGGCCTGTCGCTCGGCGGGGCGGCGGGGGCGGTCTGGGCGGGAAAAGCCGAGGGTGCGGCTGTAGCGGTCGCCTTGGCCGTGGCCGTCGACGCCGCCGGCTTGCAGGCCGCGCCCTACGCTCTGTTCTCCGATATGTTCGCCTACGAGGTAGTTGCGAGTAGTAATCGTCTTAGTGAGACGACTGAGGTTTTAGTCGGTAATTTTGTAATGTTCTGCGCAGTATCGAGGGTGCGCGACGATGTTGATGATGGCCGGCGCGTGCCTGGGCAACGCGATCGAAGTGGTCATGTTTCCGGCGGTAGTTGTGCACAGCGGAGTGGCGGCGTCGCTTCTGACGGCCGCGGCGTTGACGCTGGCTTACGCCATATTTGCCACAATCGCTGTGCCCGAGACCAGGCTCAAGACGCCTGAGCAGATTTATGACGTGATCTGTCCGGCGACAAGTCAGTGCCACAGTGTTAGAGTTAGCAATAAGTTGAAAAGTGGGACTAGAGGAGAAAAACATTCTGTTTGTACTAGTTTTTAAGTTATTAAAGGTTAGATCTGAAATATGGATATTATTAAATAAATATTAATGTGTTTTTTATCTTAAGGTAAATTAGAAAATGGAAACGCGTGTCAATTGTTTACTATGTACATATAAATAATACTTCTGTAATGGATATAAAAGCGAACACATAAAGTATATGTTAGGTGAACTCCGTTCCGAGTCCGTTAAGTCGATAACTCTTTGAAGCAATATTTACAGACATCGTTGCCATAACAACGCCTCAAACCATTACGGTTAAGGTTGCTTTGTTTGTTCTTTAACATTGCATTTACTTCAGTCACAATTATTATAATCAGTGTAGAATTATTGTGCGCTAGTGAATTGTGCTTTTTGCTACGAGATCTACTATTCATTGGAGTCAGTAAGACATCTACCACAAACATATTTGACATTTAATAATATTTTTCCTAAGCAAAGTTTTTGCTATTTTGAATGCTTAATTTAAAATTTTAAAAGCATTAAAGCATTGTTGTTTTTAAGGTTTCTTTTTGGAAAAAGTAAACCAAGAGCTCGAATACGAATTTAAATAAGCAAAGCTAAGCATTAGATTTGAAAAACTACTAAAGGTGTGTAAGTATATATGTCTACTTATTCAGATGAAACGATAAAAATGTTATAACTGTCTTAAAATATTCCCCACATAACCTTTATTAATACTGTACGGTTCCTGGGTCATTGGGGTGCTTTAAATAATAGAGGAATTTAGTTTTACTCTATATTAACCTCTCGGAAATATCCACTAAGAAAGCCAGATGAGCAAAATGCACAGCCTTGGCTCGTACATAAACCCCTTACTCATAATATAACTTTTTGGTGTGTTAAATGACGCTTGCTGGTCACTAAAGCATTGGTATTTTAGGCATTTCTAGGAAATTTACACAATGGGTCTAATGGAGAAACTGTCTTCGTGGCTCGGAGGGCCAGCTGCAGGCAGGGAGATTACGATCCTGGTGCTAGGTTTGGACCACAGCGGGAAGACGTCCCTCCTTAACGCCTTGCGTCCACCTGACCGGAGAGTCACCTCGGAGCCGACACTCGCGCCCAGACAGGACAACTTTACATGTAATATTTACTTTTTCATTTTTAATAATGTGATTAAAAACGTCAAGTGCTTTTGTTAGTAACAAAAGCATTTATATCGCTTGCCCCGGGGAAAAAATTCGTAAAGCATTATACGACTGTTTTAATGTATTCCAGTTTTTGATTTCCTTGGGTGATGTACTTGTATGGATGATGTTAATATTGTTTATTTAAAAACACGAGGATGTCTTAATTCTACGGAAATTATTTTGCTCAATGTAGGTAAAACTCGTTTACTTATTTTACTTTCCTGAAATAGATAGCAACAACCATAAATATAGTTTTAGTTTAGATTGTAATTCTACCAAATAATTATAAAAGTTTATGCGACATTTTAAAAACAAATAAAGAGTGGTAATAATATGTCTCTGTTTCACCAAGGTCATCATATTTCCGCGAAAAGAGTGGTAATAAATTATTACATTTTAGACATTTGTCAAAATGTGCCATCGTAATGTGCGGTTACTGTGTCGTCCGTAATATGTTAAACAGTGAAACAATCGTAATACGCTTTTGCTCTTCAGTCTAATTAGATAAATTACTGTAATGTACATTCAGTAATTTTTCAACTATTTACATTCAATACATAACAGGAAAAAATTGCTTTCATTTGATAAATATGTATATATATATATATATATATTTGTATATGTAATGTACTTACTATCCAAGTAATAATAGCACCTTCTTTTATTTTTCCTGAAAAAACGACCTAACCATATGACGACAACATTATATATTCAAATGACAAAGTTTGGCCGCACTTGCCTATACACACACATACTGTTTTCATACATATCACCTCATTCAATAGACTGATGTTCATAACTGATTCGTGACTATGCTTTCCAGTTGGCGGATTATCAGTGGTGGCCGTGGAAGCGGGTGGAGCTCGGCGAGTGCGGGCACTGTGGGAGCGCCAGTACGCAGCAGCGAGCGGAGTGCTGTGGGTGGTGGATGCGGCTGACGCTCTCCGACTTGCGGTTGCCCGCGATGAGATGCAGCTCATGCTGGAGCACCCGGCTATGCGCGCGCGGCGACTACCGCTGCTGGTCTGTGCCAACAAGGCTGATCTTCCGCACGCCCTGCCACCCACCCAAGTCGCTGCCGGTAAGCCCCGATAGACATTACCGTAGCTTGCATTGAGAAACAGAGATGACTGAAAGTATTGGTCTTTAAACAACTTTATGGCAAATTAGTAGAGATGTTATGGATATGATATTTCGGATCTGGATACGGATATGGATATTGGAATAAAATTAAATCGGTTTCAGATACGGTTACGGTTATGTAATTATTTCTGATTATCCGCTAGTTTCGGATAGTTTCGGTTTCGGTTATTAGATTGAAGTAAAATATTAACACAAATAGTAGGTATGTAATAATTTGGTTCATATTTAGGTTATCAGTTGGTATTATAATCGGTCATATAGGTAAGTAATTATTATATATCTCCTCAATTTAAAGTTTTATCTATTAAAATAAAAATGCAATAAATTTAAGAGTTGTAAAAACAAAGCTTTATACATTGCACATATTAACTTATAACCTATGTATAACATATTAAATGTTTTCTTATTAATTATTTTTGTGAGTAATGTAACCATCACCAAAAATCTGTCAAAACATGTCCTTTTTTTTAGATTCCGCCCTTATATCCGAAACTTGTAAAACGGTTACGGTTACATATAATTTTATTTCGGATATCCGATAGTTTCGGTTACGGAGCTCCATAACATCCTTGCAAATTAGCAATTACTTCTAATGAAAGAATTAGTTAAATTCTAACATAAGTATGACAAACTTAAATTATTATATTAGTAATATTCCTCAAATAATATCTATAAATGTTTTAATATAAATCTTTAGATATAATTAAGCTCATTTTGTACAGATTTTGTACTCATAATAAATACAGTACAGTTTGTCTTGGGTCTTGTTAACATATCTACTAGTCCAAAACCAATCATAGTCGAGACTGCAAATCTTTGTTTTGCTCCATTTATTTTTGCGTGTATCCAAAGTTTGAGTTTGACTTAATTTTATTATTATTAATTACTTAAGATGTCATGTGGAACATGGTGTAATGGTTGCAGCTCCTTACAAACATTGTGTAAAACAAAAAAACTTGGCGATTGAAAAGAGTGGCGGAGAGTCTATTGCCAGTTCTTCTCTTCCGTTCTACGCACTTGATTTGAGAACTGGCAGTAAATGTAAAATTAGAAGTATTTCATATATATGAATTTTTTGACGTTCATAAGTGTACATTTTGTTACCTATATGAATTTTGAAATTTAAAAAAAATAATTTATGACATCTCATATGATCCGGTAATACCGTGTTTGTCTTGCAGCACTGGGTTTGGAGCGCGTGACAGATAAGCCATGGCACGTGTGTGCCACAAGCGCGGTTTCCGGCGCGGGTCTCACCGACGGCCTCGCCTGGCTGACCCGCCAACTCAGAGACCTCCACACCGACCACTGAAACTGCGATCTTAGTCATTACTCTGAGAAAGAAGTCTTGTTTAACAGAAAAAGATTTTTTGTTATATTTTTCAACTACAACTCATTTCTCATAATTAAGAACTTTATAGTATACCTAACCTAGATTTGATATCATTTCCTTGAGATCAAAGTAGCATTCTTCTTAAGAAATACATTGAGAAGTCATATTTTATTAATTAAAGCGAAAGGTTTCATATAAATGTTTACAGTTTTCTAGTCTGCCCTGCGATTCTGTAACTCACTGTTAATCCGTGAGTCCACTACGCACTAACGGCGCTCCCTTCGTCACTCACGTAATTTTTGGAATCTCATGGTATTCTGTTAAGAAATTTTACATTACGTCTTGATAAGTGGAGGGAGTGAACCTAGTGAGTTGTTGTCTATTAATATCGTGACAATTGACTCATTTTATTTATAAAAAGAGTTAATTGTCAAAATTTTTATCATATATAAACAAAATATTTTTAATAAAACAAAATGGTCGACGTTTGAAATAAAATGAAGAATATTAAAAAAAAGATAAACTGTGAAAATATCTCAAAAATTATTTATCGGATGGAAAATAATTTGCAAGATTAATATAGAAATATGGTTAACCAAAGCATAGCGAGGAAAATTATTAAAACCCATCTGGCAATGGGGTCGCTTAAAGGTGAGTAGTAAGTTTATTTATTTGTAAATCGTAAGTTACGTATTTTGTTTATAACTTCCAATTAAGAGTTTATACTTCGACCAGCCGTGGTGTATATGAGCGACAGAAACTTAAAAATATTAATTATGTTTCAGCACGAAACAAGGGATACCTAACATCTGGATATATTGTACAAAATTTAAGAATATCTTAACAAAAAGATGGTAGAATGGTCTAAGGATTCAAACTAAACAGGATGGATAGGTATCTTAAATTTTCATAATATTACTAAAGGTGAATACCAATGTTTTCATATAATATTTTGTTGAGTAATTATAAATTAAAAGTAAAAATTTGTGTTTATATATTTAAACATTTGTGTAAGTGCAAGTGTTGGTACTTTTTAGATGCCACGAAACTACTATTGCAACCTTTTTAAGTGATTCAGAGGTCAAACACACAACAACAATATTACCTATGTTTTTACTAACACTCTTAAAAACTGAATTCTATTAAAACTATTTTAGAAACATAATAACTATCATAGTAAATAAATAGGAATAAGCAGTGTCTAGAAAAATAGTTAACAAAGTTTGTTTGTTTGATGGAAAATTTGAAGTCAAATGTAATAGGTTAAATCGAAGCGACATTGTAAAGAATAATTAAATTATTGGTTTAGAAGTTAGAAGTATTAATTTTAATTGATCAAGTTGAATTTAATTTAATTGTTCAGATTTCAGAACACAAGTATAAATAATCATGTTAGGTATGTTGGATCAAATATATAAGCTTTCAATTGCTCAAATTTATACCATTTCAAGTGATAAACGTTAATTTTAAATGTTGGAAATGACATTGCCATAACTTATTTAATATACATAGAAGCAATCTAAAGATAGTTATTCTATTTTAGTTGTTATTATATTGTAGTCAGCACTACAATTTAGCACTAAACATACCCTTCATGGGTCTTGGATTTGTTTCATTAATAAATAACTGTTTTTAAAGTAGGAACATACTTAGATTTGGATTTCTGAGTCTAAATATAGGTTTGCTCAAGATTTTTTTATTCATAGTACTGAATCAAATACTGTGTGTGAAATTACTAAGCCTTGTTACCATAAAACTTTAAATAATTTTTGGCTTAGTTATAATATAATCAAACATGTTTTTAAGATACTTTACTTAGAAATACAAAGATATCCCATAAAGTTTTTGTGTGTTTTATGCAAGTTTTTTTATTATTTTCCTTAACTTTACTATAATTAAATTGTTACGCAATATTATTGTGTCAGTACAGTGACCTACCATATCTCCCTATTTACAATTTTAACAGATAACTTATTACAGCCATCAGCGGTAGTTGTCAAGAATGAGGAAGAAAATGACCAATTATTGAAATGTTAAGAAGAGATTAAACCGAGACCACAAATCTATTTTAAAAATTGTATTACCGTGTTTAAGATAATTGTGTACTTCATAATAATTTTTTTGTATCTAATAATATTGTTATATTAATAAAATGATTAATTAAATCTACCATTATTTAATGACTGCCTACAGAAAACGTAGTAACCGAAATGAAAAATATATAAGCCATGTTACTTTATAGGTTAATAAAAGAACAATATAATAACTTACACATTTAATTTAATGATTATAGTAAACTTTTAACACACTACAAAATAACTTTCAGTTATACAAACACAAACTTAAGTATAATAAAAACTAATTCAAACCCAGCCTCACATAGAGCTAATCAATAACATCTACTTTATTTTGTAGACAAATATATTTATTTTAATATTATATTTTCTAATTAGTTTGTAAAAAGTAATAGTTATGAACTATAAATTTAAAAAAGCTTAAGTACTTAAACCATCATGTATGTTGTCGAAATTCAATCATTTGAAAATGTCTGCACTATTGTGTCTTTCTATATCCAGGGGCCTTGTCTTCTTCAAAGGCAGAATGTATTTTTCTTTCAGGAATTTTGAACATTTGGGGATCTCTGAAATTATTGAGATTTATAATTTTAGTATAGTAGAAAAATACAAATATATTACAAAATTTACCTATCTTAACTTATTTATCGTTTTCTGTTCGACTTATCTCTGCTGGAGACAAGACATGATCAAGACTGCATCGAAAAATTGGTTTCAGGATAAAAATGATATTTTTAATGCTAAAATAATCAAAATGTTTATCTTAGAATATCTATTTACTAGTCTCTTCGTTCATCTCAGCAGCATATGTTCAAGGTTTCGTCAATACCATATAATTTCTTGGGTATTGGAAAAAAGCGATAGTAACCAACGCCGAGAAACCAATTGGTCGTTTCGTGCCTGCAATTTCTTCGCCATCTATAGATATTATATGAAGTATTTTTAATGGTTTACATCATTTATTTCATGAAATAGAGGTTTAAGCTTTTAAAGTGGAAACGGGCCTTCTGTAACAATAACAAAGTTCTATTTCACGAAGCCTAATGCTTATATATATAATTTTTTTCGTAAAATATAGCTGCATTGATAAATATTCAATTCAATTTCAAAAATTCTTTATTTTGTTTCACAAAAATTTATAGTGCTACATATCCAGTGTACATTATTTATAAATATTATTTTATAAACTTACCCCAACAATCAACATACATATAGATTGTCCTATGTTAGAATATTTTCACATAAAACAAGTTTTAACTTCGCTAAAAATGGCTACCTCACTGGTAAATCACGATTTCAGCGAGGGAAGAGCAACTTTTAATTTGACGTAAAGAATCTACATTTAAATGAGATGAGATGTCAAATGGTATGTATAAGAATACCAAATATCAACAATTTTGGAGCGTAAGTGTAGCAGTGCCAAATTTTTTGTTCCAAATGTGAACAATCTCATTTGAGCGGCGCTTTTGTCGCGGTTATTGTTTATCAGAATACCAAATTGTAACATGACACCGAAACGAACGATTTGACAGCAAAAATCAGCGCTGAGAGTGTGTGAAGCGAGTTACAGAATCGCAGGGCTGTTCTGTTATATTCGTTATTGTTATTAGATTTTTCGCTTATTCCAAAATATACCATTAAAATAATGTTTTATTTTATTAAATGAGCAAGGAAAGCGACCCTAATTAGTATCCGTAACCGTATTTTTGTAATGTATGTAATGTAATGTAATGGAACATACAAAAAATTATCTAAAAAAACTCAGATTTTTTTAATTTATACGTAAAATATGCTTGTACATTAGTAAATTCATTAATATTTGGATCAATAGTTTTTTTTAATTTTGTATTTTGTAGTTAGAAAAACTAAAAATAAATACGTCATCGTTCTGAATTTATCTTTTGAAAATTTGCCAACTCACAAACATTAATTCTTTTCTAGACATTGCTTATTCCTATATTTTTTTTACTATGAGTGTTATTATATTTATAAAATGATTTTAATATAACTTCTATTTAGTAGTGTAATATAATTTTTGTGTGTTTGATCTTACTCTCTTTGAGTACCAACACCTTGTTTATCGATCCCTTGCTACTTTTTGTCCACAAAATATTTTATGTAAACATTGGTACTTTTAGTAAGATTTTGGAAATTTAACACAATTCATCCCGTTTCGTCTAAATCTATGACTATTCGCTGTGAGAATCCGTTTCAGCTGAATCTGATAATCCTTCTGCTATGCTAGGAATATCAATATTGTAACTATATACCCCGATGATAATGCAGGAATAAGAAATATCCCTTGTTTCGTCCTAAAACATAATATTTTTTAAGTTGTCTCTTGTTGTCTCTCTATCAATACACACGTCTTTATATTTCATATTTATATTAGGTTATTATTGACGGGGTTTTTTTACTATAGGAGTATTACATTAATCATAGGCCCTAATGTAACGTAAAATAAAATTGCTTGACAGGATGCCATTCGATTCAAAAATAAGGTGAGTGGCGAATTCCGCCGCCCATGGACACTCTTAATGCCAGAAAGTGGTTCAGGATTTTTGTATTTTTCTAAATTATTGTGTTGATGCTAGGAGATCTATTTGCTTGTAACAATCTAGCTTTTGCTTCCGGAGCAATGGCGGGCCTATGATTAATGGCTTGATGAGATATGTTGTAATTTTGTTTTAATTACTTTCGTCAAGTTGTGAATATATTTATTCTTATAATTTTTACACGCTTTATATTAGGTTCACCTGTATGTATGTATGTATGTAACCGACTCCTTCGGACTCAATTTTGACCCACTTTAAACGGACATATTTTATTCAAATTTTGCGCACCTGTCAAAGATCGATGACAATGCAATAATCCGAAAAAAAAAAATTAACTAAAAAATAAATA